ATTATTAAGTATGGAGTATGTTAAAACTATGCCTAAGATATTTTAAAATAGAAAGAAGATAAAACAAATAAGACTATTTAAAAATTATCAGGTACTCACAAAAATGTATAGATGAGTGTTTGTAGCAAATTTGACACATGCAACAGCTTGGATGAATTGAATTTATGCTGAGTAAAAAAAAAAAAAAAACTAGCCATACAAGGTTACCTGCAGTAAGATTTCATTTATGTAACATTTTTCAAATGACGAAATTGTAGAAATAGAGAACAGATTAATGATGGTGTGGCAGGCACAGGGTATGGGATGGGCAGAAAGGAGGGTGTGATTATGAAAGGATCCTTACAGTGATAGACTGTTCTCTATTTTGACTGTAGCGATAGACACATGAACCCAAATGTGATAAAATTGCATAAAATTAAAGACAAATCCATACTCATATAACTGAGAAATCTGAATATTGGTGGATTGTATGAATGTTAATATCCTTTTTATAATATCGTATTATAATTTGCAAGATTTACTATGGGGGAAATAGGGCAAAGGATACATGATATTTCTTTGTGTTATTTATTACAACTGCTTGTGAATCTATAATTGTCTCAAATAGAAATTTGCAAAAATAACCAGATAGATATAGAAAGAAGCATTAGAACTTTTAGAAATTATTACAGAAATTAAAATACACATACAGTTTAAAGAACAGATCAGCTAAAGGTGAAGACTAAAGTTGTGAATTGGAAGATAGAGGTAAGTGAATTACCCAGAATCCAGCATGGAGAGACAAAGATGAATATAAGATTAAGAGAAAATATATTATTAAGATACTTATTATATATCTGATCTGGAAAGAACAAATAAAGAATGGGATATGGCATTTTAGGAGATAATCTCAAAGAATTTTCGGATCTATGAAAGATACAAATTTTTATATGCAAAAATAATAATGAAATCCAAGCAGGATAAGTAAATGTGTTACAGTGAAATTGTAGAAAACCTAAGAGAAATAGAAGGTAATTAAAAGCAGAGAGATAAAAGGCATATTTTCAATAAGTAAAGGATAACAGTTCTGTCAGCAAATGTCTCAACCGCAAAAATAGAAGCCAGAAAACAAGTTTTAAAATACATCAAAAATACTAAGAGAAATTAACTGTCAAACTGGTGTTATACACCTATCTAAACCATCAAAGAATAATGAAGGTAAAATAAATATATTTTCAAAAGCAAAACCAACAAACCTACAAACAAACAAAACCTAGGGTATCTACCATCCTGGTACTCTTACTAAAAAAAACTGCTAAATGATGAACTAGGGAATATGAACAAATATTCCAGAAGAAATTTCTGCAATGCAGGAAGGAAAGGTAAACCAAGAAACTGTAACAATTCACCAGAAACACTGACTATATAAAATAGCAAAAATGACAATATCAATTTATATTAATGCTAATGAATTTTGAGAAACAAAAATACCATAAAACTGAAATATTGGAAAACAATAGCATTAAGATGCTAGTGGAATGTTTGGAGTTAAAAATTTCTAAAATCCTGGTATTTATCAGGAAAGTGGATTTAATGATTGGCTTTAGTTTTTAAAGGGTATATAAGTTAAAATTTTAAGTGCAACTGCCAAATGATTGAAATAAATTTTAAAACTTTCAGAATAATAAGAGAAAAATGAAATAAAAGAGTCATGGTCAATATAAAAGAAGTCTGGAAATAAAAGTAGAAAAGCAGAAAATACAGGCATAGTAGAAAGCCAAAATAAGATGTCAGAAATAGTCCATGTATATCATTAGACTAATCTTGCTAGTAAAACTTAACAGAAATGGTAAGACTAGATGTAAGAACAGCTATATACAATTTGAAGAAGGAACACATGAAATATTAGAACATAGAATGAAAGCATAAGGATAGAAAAAGATACAACCATGAATCACTAACCAAAGGAAAAGACATACCAGGCAAACACTAGCCAACATTAAAGTGTAATGTTAATATCAATTAAAATAACAGAGACTGCTGTTCTCTTCTTTTTTTTATTAGTATACCTCTGAATTTGACTAGTCACCCAGCTAAAGATGGATTTCCTAGCCTGTCTTGCCGTTAGTGTGGCTGTGTTTAAGTTAGGACCAATGGAATGTGAACAAAAGTGATGAGTGCAGTTTTCTGATGCTCTCCTTAAAGAGAAAATTGCCTGTCTTGGTTTTCTCTCTCCTCTTTGAATTGAGTGGAAAAGCCAACTGGCAGGAACGTTGTTACCTGTGTAGAGTTTGGCAATACCAATTCATCAGGGAATAGAGCTGACTGCCAACCCTAGGCTCTACCTTTAAGTTTTAGATGCTAGAAAAATAAACTTCTTTTTAAACTTCTGTATTCTGAATTTCTGAATGTTATGTTCCTTTCTCTCTACAACCTTGCCAGCATCTGTTATTTTTTGACTTTTTAATAGTATTAATTTTGACAGGTGGGAGATGGTATCTCATTGTGGTTTTTATTTGCATTTCTCTAATGATCAGTGATGTTGAGCTTCTTCTCACAGAATTGTTGGCTGCATGTATATCTTCTTTTGAAAAGTGTCTGTTCATGTCCTTTGCCCACTTTTTAAAGGACGGGTTTTTTTTTCTTAAGTTCTCATAGACGCTAGATATTAGACCTTTGTCAGATGCATAGTTTGCAAAATTTTTCTCCCATTCTGTAGGTTGTCTGTTCACCCGGTTGATAGTTTCCTTTGATGTGCAAAAGCTCTTTAGTTTAATTAGATGTCATTTGTCGATTTTTGCTTTTGTTGCAGTTTCTTTTGGTGTCGTCATCATGAAATCTTTGCCTGTTCCTATGTCCAGAATGGCATTGCCTAGGTTGTCTTTCAGGGTTGTTATAGTTTTAAATCTTTGCCTGTTCCTGTGACCAGAATGTCATTGCCTAGGTTGTCTTCCAGGGTTGTTATAGTTTTATAGTTTACATTTAAGTCTTTAATCCATCTTGAGTTAATTTTTAAATTTGGTATGAGGAAGGAGTCCAGTTTCAATGTTCTGCATATGGCTAGCCAGTTATTCCAGCACCATTTATTGAATAGGGAATCCTTTCCTCATTGCTTGTTTTTGTCAGGTTTGTCGAAGATCAGATAGTTGTAAGTTTGTAAGTGTGTGACCTTATTTCTGGGTTCTCTAGTCTGTTCAGTTGATCTGTGTGTCTGTTTTTGTACCAGTAATATATATTGCATGTAGATACCACATATGTATTAAATGTGTAAGAGATGTTATGATTAATAGGTGCTTGTTGGTCATTGCCTTATCCTGTGAGGAGATGGCACTTGAGTTGTAGAGTAGCAGTAGATTATTTTTTTCTGAGAAGATTTCTCAGATGTAGTGACTATTTAATTTGAGTGATGAAAAAAGAGCACGGATTTTCTAAGCAGAATTTATGCACTGAAATTAATGTACTAAAGTGTATTCTCTTGGCTCACAGAAAAGCTGCTCTAATATTCACTTAGAAACTTTTGACTTATTCAATACATAATTCTAATAAGCTTAGTTGGCTTCTAGTGAATCGTATATTACAAACTGCCAAAGACAGATACACGGGCAATGATAAGAAACAACAACCAGTTGTGATGTATAAGGCAGGAAAAACCACCAGTGGATGCATAGAAATTAAAACCAAAAATAGACTAGAGCTAAATGTTACATAAAGTCAATGAATTCTACGTGCCCTAGTAACTCTAGATAGCAAGCTGTACAATATAGTAATTAATGGTGGTCCCCAGGTCATCCAGATGTTTGTGTTTGGGCTCAAGTATCCAGGAAAATTTACTATGGTATATTTGCAACAAACTACATCAGTTTTTCAAAAAGATTTGCAAATTAAAGGAAATAATTTTGTATGCAAAATTAACCTATTTGGAATAGCATGTTTCTAAATCATGCCTAGTAAGTGATGAATTTCTGTATTTTACTTATTCATCAGACATTCTTTGAGAAGTTATTATACGTTAGGCATAATCTTGACACTAACCTCACAAAGGTGAATCAGATACTTCAGTGTCATTCACTAACAAGATGCCTTGCATATAGTATACAGTATTAAATATATGTACGTTAAGACAGAGAAGAAAGTGCTAATTTGGCTACTGATCTCTGCTATAACTTATATCATTTTGAAAATTACTACAATTAGAAATGGGGAGGGTTAATACTATTAGATTAGGAATTTCAATTGAGTAGCACAGTAGAGGGTTTTTAGCAGTATGTATTAAAAACAATTCAAAAAATTTAATCCCTTTAATTTGTAATCCTAATTCTAAATTTAAAAAATCTTAAGAATGATTAAAAATAAGCACAATGCTTTTAAATGATACTTTGTTGGCATTATGTATAATAATGAACACACTTTAATGTATAATAGTAGAAAATTTGTTAATTATGTTATATTTATTCATCAGAATTTTAGTTGGAGAATATTATGGGAAAAAGTTCATGCTATATATTGGTAAGGTACAAAATTGGTTAGAGGAAAGTATGCAAAAATACTGAGTGACTATTTTATGATACTAGGATTATAGGTAATTTTTTCTTTTCCTTTTTCTTTGTTGTTTCTTTCCTTTTTATTCTACTTTCTAAATTTTTAACATAAACACATGCTGTTTTAACTGTTAAAAAAAAATCAAATGCTATTTGTAAGATAGCTCTTTTTCCATTCTGAAGTAGATTCTTTGGAAATAAACTTTTATCTTGGGAGATTAGCAGGTACTACAATGGATTTCTGTGGATATTATCAATGACCAAGGCTTGAACTTTGTTTAAAGCCACAATAATATCACAAATTCACCCTGAACGATTTTATCATCCATTTAAAATGACATGTTTAATGCATGTTCTTGTCTATAAAGTTGAAGCAATGAATAAAAAGTATATAATATTACTAAAGCCATAGATAAGAACTCACAAAAATTAAATAGAGAATTTTTATGTAAAATGTTCTCTTTTGCTTTCATGAATTTGCAGCTCCTCAGTGGGTAGTGCACTTCCACGAAGACGCTGCTGTGCATACATTACCATTGGAATGATATGTATTTTCATTGGAGTTGGATTAACTGTGAGTATTACTTTGATGTTAGAATTCTGTCCTCTCAACTTTATCAGTAGTCAGTCATGAGGCCTGTGACAACCTCCAGGGATGCCTGAAGAGTCTGCATCCTTGGCATGCCAGCCCTAGAAGCTTCTGAATGATTATAAGCAGTCAGAAACCCAATCCACGGATCTCTTTTTGATTGAACTCACCCATCCAGGTGAAATGGTGTCTTTGTACTTCCAAAAGTCCTTACTGTTGGGGATTTTATCATCTATTTAGCAAAAGCCCATTTTTTAAAAATTCAGTGCCAGAACTAATTTTGTATAGCTATGGGCTCTCTTATTATTCAACGCAACATTCATTCAGCTACAGAGATCTGAAAAACCACTCTTCACTTTATCCAAATGAAGCAGTGATTTATTACCAATATGAGGATGGCTTATTTTCAGGGGAGACTGGAGCTGAGCAGTTAGCATGGGGATTATGCCAGAAGAGGAAGATAATCCCTTTTGCTGCCATTTCCATGCTCCTTTGTTTGTCAGTACAACTAGTCCCTTATTATTAGCAATGTCCTATTTGTGTGCCATGATAGTAAGAAGTTACATAGATTAAATTCCTTGTAGAGATAATATAGTTTAGTGTGCTTTTTTGTTTACTTCATAACATTTGTAGTTAATACAAGTAGCAGTATGGTCTATCAGTTGCAGTCAACAGATACACCTACTCTTATAAGGATTTTGTGTATTCAGTCTGGGGGTATGTTTCATAACAATCACATGTAAGCTGATACAAGTTCTCTAAGCAGATATTTTCTTAACGTTTCTAATCTTCTGTTTTTATATTGCTTTTTACTTTAGGTTGGCACCCAAGATTTTGCAAGGCGATTTCGAGCAACCTATGTTTCTTGGGCAATTGCTTATCTCCTAGGGTTGATCTGCCTTATCCGAGCTTGTTATTGGGGAGCCATAAGAGTCAGTTATCCAGAACACAGTTTTGCATAAGCTTGTTTATGATTCAGTGATGCAGGTGAGAGTGTCTAGCAGTTCTTGGTAAGCTACTCTGGACATCTTTAAATTATTTATCCTAATGGATTCCATTCTGGTTTATGTATAATAGTTTCAAGACTTTGGGAGTCTTTTATGAACAAATGCTCATTGCACTACATTATATGCAAATTGTTTTGCTGCTAGGTTTTCAACATTTGAATAATAAAGCCTTTTCATGTTCTTTTACATCTCTTATAGATATTTTTGGATTTGTTACCAAACATTACATTTACTCTCACCCTTTTATTATTTTTAAATAAGTTATTTCATTACTTGCTGATATGTGAGTATTCCTAAGTGTTTATAAATATTTCTACAATAGTTTCACATTTATATTTACATTTTAATCAGTATCAAAATTGCTTGCTTAAAACCTAAGCAATATGCATTTTGCTTGAACTGCTTACTGTAACCTTAACCTAAGATTATAGTGACCTTATTCAGGAAAAAGAAAATTTAGTGTACCTTCAAAGACTTGACATTCTTGTCAGAGGAAAAAGAAATTTCTAGATACTGTATGCTTGTTTTGTGTTGTTTGTAGAAAGATAAAATATTTTGGTAGTAATTTAAAATACAAGAATGAATATTTATTTGTCCACAGTTGGAGATGTTGGATAAATGTCTTTTCTCAAAGATCACAGGACTTTTGTCTCTCATTTTTGTCTTTTTATTACCAGTTATAAAAGATCTGGTCTGGATTTATGGAATTTATGTTTATCGGCTCTATGTATTCCTTTATAGAGGCTGGAGGAAGTATTTCACATAATATGTTTTCTAATACTTAACCATTTATTCAAAGATATATTTACATTGGGTTGTGCCCCTTTTCCTTAGATCATGGTAAATTTTTCTTATTGAGGTAATTATGTACTATTTATATTTGAAGGAAGCTTATGACATTTTACAGTAGCTAAAATATTGAGATTAGAGGTACTTTTACTATTCTTCTCAAAGGTAACTGATCAGATAATTGCCCAAATTATTCAAGAAAATAGATCAGAGATAAAGAACAACATAGTTTTCTTAAGAATTCATGGAAATTTATGGAATGAGCTCTCACACTGCCCATCTTTGCAGTTTTGAAAAAGAAATTGCTTAATCACAAATGTTCTACAGTCTTTAAATGTAGTAGAATTAGACAGTGAGATCATCTGAGTAAATTAATTGGTGATTCCAGAGATAAGACTAATATTTTAAATTATTTATGTTACTGATTAGTATAAAAACGTACTCATCACAGAATTTGAAGCAAAATACATGTACACTTCAAAGAGTAAATGACAGATGTATAAATGCTGTAGCTCAGGATTATATGTACCTTTAAAAATACACTAATAAAGATTATTGTTCAAAAAATTACCTTGTTTTATTCCATTAAAAATAATATGTCACTTCCAAAGTTGTCTTGAAATCTCGCTGTAAAATTTTCATGTTTAGGAATGTACCTAATGTTTCTTTATATAATATTCATTTGTTTTTTGTACTATTTTCAAATGGTTTTATTTTTAAAATATAGTTTTTAAATTCATTTGTAATACACTTGATGTCAGGTATAAAATAATCTTCTTTTCCTAATGGTTAACTAGATGTAACAGCATTGTGTATTTAATAATCTATTTTTTCCCTCATTGATTGCAAAGCTCACATTAAATTATATGCTACATCATATTCCTTCTGGAATAATAACTTTATGAGAGCAAGAACCGTGGTAGTCTTGTTCACAGCTTTATCCCAACTTAGAACAGTTCTTGGTGTACATGTGCTCAATATACATGAATGAATATGCATGAATGAATAAATGGTTGAATGAATTGGGATTTTAAATTCTTATATACACTTGAATATGTACTTTATATTTTGTACCAGAATGTGTAGGTAAGTATTTGTATAACCTTGGGTTAACAGAAAATGTTCTAAGTAGAATCTAAAAGAAGAAATTATATAGGAAAGGATTGATACAACCAAACAACAACAACAAAAATACCCAGAATACTTCTGTATGATAAAAACCGATAAGCAAAGCCAAAAGACAAACTGGTGAAGCTATTTTCAAAATAGTAGAAAGACTGTAATATCAGAAGGGACTAACGGTATGAAAAAGCAAAAAAATAACTACAATAGGTCATAAACTGTTTTTCGATTTTTCTTTCTTCTTTTCTTTTTTTTTTTTTTTAGACAGGGTCTCACTCTGTCACCCAGGCTGGAGTGCAGTGGTGTGATCTCGGCTTACTGCAACTTCCACTCCCCTGGCTCAAGCCATCCTCTCACCTCAGCCTTCCAAGTAGCTGGGATCACAGTGTGTGCCACTATGCCGGGCTATTGTTTTTTTTTTATTTTTTTATTTTTTTTATTTTTTGTAGAGATGGGGTTTCACTATGTTGCCTAGGCTGGTGTGGAACTCCTAAGCTCAAGCGATATGTCCACCTTGCCCCCACAAAGTTCTGGGATTACAGGTGTGAGTCACCACACCCAGCTCTCAATTTTCTAATATTTGAAGAATGTAAGTTAAAACACAAAGATACTACTTTTCACTTACCATATTAACAAAGAAGTAGAAAGTGCAATAATACCCCTGTAATGCTGAGGATATTGGAAACACACACACACACACACACACACACAAACCCGCCACATATTATTTGATCTAGTAATTCTCTCTTTTATAATTTATCCTGAAGGTATTGTCAATTTTCTGTTTACAATAAAGAGTAAAAAGAAAAAAACAATCCAACAATCTAATAACATGGGATTGGTAAAATAAATTATGGCACACCTATACAATGAAATAGCAGACAATCAAGAATATGATGAAAAATTTCATCTATTGAATTGGAAATGGCTCATGAATTGTGTGATACATAGACTATGATCCACATTTTAGAAAATGTATTTTATGTGTACATACTGAAAAAACTAAGGAAAATCAAAAATGTTAAGAGTGGTTATCTCTGGGTGATGAGAAATGATTTTTACTTTATTTTTGAACTAGATTGTTGGAAAGTAAGTTTTACTCTTGATGAATAGATAAGAGTAGTATATGATGATTACATCATTATTTGTTAATTTTCATTTTAATTCTTGAAGAGTTTTAAAATAAGTTTATTAAAATCCAAACCAGAGTGTCATTGATAAAACCTTAAGCTTTAAAGTCAAAAAATATATATTTAAGCTTAGTCCTATGTGAGTTACCTAAAATTTTTAATTAATTAAATTCAAATTTATGAGACTTTATACTCAGTGTTGTCTTTTGTTATTTTGTTTTTTTGTTGTTTTAAGTAGAGCATGTCTTCCAGTGCCTAGGGAACATAGAAAATAACAGGGAAGAGGTTATTTGAAAGAATACACCATAGCCACAAATCAGAAAAGGAAGGACGTATTTGTCCCTTGCTGTTCAAAGTAGTACAAATTGCCTTAGTTCTTCTTAGAAAAGAAGAGGGGAAAAAATGGCACTATGACCAGGTATTCTTGAACAAATCATTTGTGAGTACATATATGTTATTTTAGAAGAAAAAAAGGAACCTAATAATGACATGTGCCAAGTAGAGTGCTAACCTCACAATACATGCTGTTTAAATATTCACAAGAACCTAGGAAGCAAGTGCAGCATTCTGTTTTACCAGGGGAAATTGAACTGCTACTCCCACAGATCTGAAAAAGTAGATGCTGAGTAGGACAGGAATCTGCATTCAAAACAATCACTCCCTCATGATTCTATTGGAGATTTTTCCTGGATCACACCTAGAGAAACACTGTACTACACCATGCTGAAAATATCACATTTATATCCACTTTGGCATTCATATTTTCACATACAGAAACATGCTGTGATTTATTTTATTTTATTTTTCTATGAGTTATTGGGGTACACGTGGTATTTGGTTACATGAGTAAGTTCTTTAGTGGTGATTTGTGAGATATTGGTGCACCTTTTGTTTAGCTTTTGTTTAGTTTTGATATGGCTACACTTGCACTCATATGCTCTGATAAACCTCTACAGCCATTTCCATGTTTATGATCTGCATAAATTGCTAGAAAATCTAAGTTTTCATTTATTCAATGTATGTTTCTAGTGTGCTCATACATACATATGTAATAAGCAATGAAGGCAAAATCCCTAGTGTTTATTTAGCCACCTTACGTATGTTAACATTTAATCTGTCACAGTTATGATTCTACCATTGAAGAGGCTAAGACAGATGCAGTAATTAAAGGTCACTTAGCTTATGTGTGAGGACGCCAGCTGGAATCAGTCTGCCTCTGAATGTGTCTGCTTTCCACTACATAAGGTTTTATTGTTTCACTTTGTAGTGAAAAACTTTTGATTTTTGTGCCCCCTGGTGTTCATTGTCTGTAGGTCATCTGTAGAAAGAGAATTATTAGAAAATATTTGCCCAAAATAGTCACTTCAGAAGCATAGAATAGTTTAAAATTTTTTTTATGAATTTGATATTATATCCAACTACATTAATTTTAGAGCATTTTGATTTATGTAGCAAAATATTGTTACATGATTTTCTTTTTTATAATTAGCATAAAATTATAGGAAGGCTAAGTAGAAATATTTTCTTTTTTCTTTCTTTTTCTTTTCTTTTTTTTTTGAAAAAGGGTCTCACTCTGTCTGCCAGGCTGGAGTGCAGAAGCAGAATCTCAAGGCTGACTGCAGCCTCAGCCTCTCCATCACTGCAGTCTCGACCTCTGAGACTCAAGAAGTCCTTCCACTTTGACCCCCTGAATAACCGGGACTACAGGTGCACCACCATGCCCGGATAGTGTTTTTTCTTTTTTTTTTTCTTTTTTTCCTCTTTTTGTAGGTAAGTGGTTTCACCATGTTGCCCAGGCTGGAATGGAACTCCTGAACTCAAGCGATCCACCTGCCTCAGCCTCCCAAATTGCTGCTGGGATTAAAGGCATATGCACCCAGCCAGAAGTATTTTCTATTAAATATTAGGAAATTGACATGCGATGAGCTTTAAATAACATAATTGTATTTTCTTTTTCTTGTAATAGCAATAGTTATGAAAATGATTGTTTATTAGCACAAAATACTAATAAAACTTTGCACAGGCTTTTAATTTTAAAATTTGTTTTATACAGTTACAAATTTAAATAAATACTATGCTTTTTATATTTTGCTAAACATGCATATGTTTGACTTGAAGTGGAATATTAGATTAAAAACAGAAAAATAAAAAGGCTATTTGTTTTCTTTTGGAGACGGCCTCACAGAGTAAGGATCAGGTAAGGCTAAAGATTTAAGAAGTGGGTCTAGTTTGTAATACAGTAAATGAGTCTTTGATCTAACAATCTTTCAATTTCGTAACTAAGAGTTACTTAAGGTAACTTATTAAATAGGAAGTGATCGCACCCATTGCTCTGATGAATTTTTTGAATGCCCTGAGTGGCCTGTTCATATGTGTAAATAATAATGGTAGGATATACAGAGTTATGGAAAAGTTCCCAGTGTTCCAATAAATTTTTCTGAAAAACCTTGCCTCAGTATGTCATATTTCCACATGAGATAATACCTTTGGCTTAAGATATTGGACATTTAAATAATCTTGAAAATGCATTAAATTTTATTTAAAAAATTTTTTTATTTTAATTTTTATTTTTTGTTTTTGAGATGGAGTCTCACTCTGTCGCCCAGGCTGGAATGCAATGGTGCGATCTTGGCTCACTGCAAGCTCTGCCTCCCAGCTTCACGCCATTCTCCTGCCTCAGCCTCCCTAGTAGCTGGGACTACAGGCGCCCGCCACCATGCTCAGCTAATTTTTTTGTATTTTTACTAGACCGGGGTTTTACTGTTAGCCAGGATGGTCTCGATCTCCTGACCTCGTGATCCGCCTGTCTCAGCCTCCCAAAGTGCTGGGATTGAAATATCATTTTACTGATAATTTTACTGATTAAAATATCAGTAAGGCACCGCACCTGGCCAAAACGCATTAAATTTTTATTAGTTATTAAGCCTCAAGAAAGAGTTTAGGAAATGTGGAGAATTCCTTAGCTATGTAAGGGCATATTTTGTTTTGTTTTCTGGTTTCTTCCTATATACCTGCTTCACTCCTTTATAAACTTCCCCTCTACCTATCATCTGCCATCCACAGATCTCCTTTAACTCCCTCCTCACCAATGCAGACTTTGGTACCTAGTTTTCATTCTTATCACATGCCACTGATTTAAATGTCAATGTGAATGGCTTGTCTAATACTGTAGTCTGGACTCACAGTTCTTTGTCGAGTCTAATGACCTTTATTTTCCTTTCACTTCTGATATTCACCTCTACAGCGGCATGCTGGGTGGTTATACTTAACCACTGCATCTCTAAACTCTCACACTCGGTTATCCCACTGTCTGAAAATATACCTCCTTGAAAATATACCTCTTGTGTCTAGAAGTCACACTGTGTGAGGACTTCAGGTTTATTATTCTTTCAATTTATCATCCCCTTTATTAGCCAATGAATCTCACAACCACGCAGGTAAATGCCCTTATAAATTTCTGATCTTCACCTTCAACTGCCTCCTTAACACAACACAGATGCTCATATTATAGGAATGTGTTAAAACAGTGGTCCCTAACATGTTTAGCACCTGAAAACAGGTGAACTCTCTATACTCTCAGCAGTTTTCCTTACTCTCTCAGCTATATGTACTTTCTTTATGGTCACTACCTTTACTTATGACTCTCAATAAACATTGCCTGGATTACTGTAAGCCTCTGAACTGATTCCTCTGCCTCTGTTCTTGTCTTGCCCATTGCCTACTCTGCTTTCCAATCCATTGTTCACATTGTTATTTAAGTACTTTTTTTCCAAATGGTCATGGAATACTATCAAACCCAAACTAAAATCCTTCAGTGTCTCTCTATATCCTTATATAGGAGATAAAAGACACTTCATCTTTTATTATCCTAATTATCAAGCCACTACCAGGCAGTCTTGTGTTTTGTGTTTCTGCAGTACTGAATTACTGATGTTTTCTTGTATTGGCTACTGCTCTATTCCTGTGTATCTCTGTGCTTGTTCTTTCACCTGCAAGGAATACCCTTTTCTAAGTGGGTAAATGTTTTATCCTTAAAAATCCTGTTCAGGCATTACCTCCCCTGTGAACCGTTTCGTGATGTCTCTTCTCCACCCTCCTACCCTTCAACACAACTATGCCTTTTCATGTAGTACTTCTTTTATTCCACATAAGTACTTCCACTACATATACTATCTTCTATTTCATATATAGGCACTATTATTAAGCTAGCGTTCTCTTCTTGCTAATTGTGCATCAGCCTTTCTTGTCATATTTCAGTTTTTCTTTGTATCCTCAGTGTGTATCAGCTTTTCTCGTCGTATTTCAGTTTGTGTTTGTATCCTCAGTTACTAGCACATAAACATAGGTCTTTACAACTTTTTTGCTGAGCTGAATGAAACTGTCATTATTATAGCTTTTAACACAGGGGTTTCTAACCACTGCCCCCCCACCCCCCGCCCTGGGGACCCAGATTGGTACTGGTCATTGGCCTGTTAGGAAACAGGCCACAGAGCAGGAGGTGAGCAGCAGGTGAGTGACTGAAGCTTTATCTGCATTTACAGCCTCTCCCCATTGCTGGCATTACTGCCTGAGCTCTACTACCTGTCAGATCAACAGCGGCCCATAGGAATGTGAACCCTATTGTAAACTGCACATGCAAGCTATCTAGGTCGTGTGCTCCTTATGAGAATCTAATGCCTGATGATCTGAGGTGAAACAGTTTCATCCCAAAACCATACCTCGCCCTTCCAGTCTTCCATGAAACCAGCCTCTGGTGCTAAACATGTTAGGGACCACTCTTTTAACACATTCCTATAGTAATTATGAGCATCTGTGTTGTGTATGTGTTAGCATATTCTTCATAAAATGCTTTGTAAATGTTTGAGGAATAAATGAATAAAAGGCAACTATTGGCAGGAGGTTGGCAAGGAGATCATTTGGTAAACATCAGGTAATGCTACTTCTTCAGCTTTCTGAGTTGCCAGGCTTTCAGGGACACCACCCAGATTTAACAATTAACTTACTGAGTTGAAATTGTCTGTCTGCATATCTGTACCCTCACTAGACAGCACATACCATGAAATCAAGTAACCAGTTTTTTTTTGTGTGTGTGTGTGTGTGTGTGTGTGTGTAGTTCTAGGTATTGTGAAAGTGGAGTTAAATAAAATATGAAAATATAAGTTTACATAAAAGCTCTACTTATAAGTAGTGAAACACATTATAAATTATTATCCTTCTAACTGGGATATCTATTTCTACTGTTGCTTTTTCTCAATCCATTTTCCAATTCTTTGAGTGGCCGGGGCAGGGCAGGAAGCAGGGGTGGGGCAGGGTGACCAAAGTAAGTATTTACTTAGAAAATCAATGACAACAAATTACAGATTTTTAAAAAGATGATAAATACCACAAATATTTTAGAAATTCGGTAAAATGATATTTTAAATTACCTGAACCATTGCTATGTTTTTCCTATATTTTTAGTTTCCATTTCTTTTATTGCCTCATCATTTGACAGTAATTTTGTAATGCACTTTCCCTGGTGATAATGAATAATGTGGTATTCTTTTCAAAGCAAATTTAGTCAACATGTATTTTTTGTTATTGAAAGCTTAGAAAAGTTATTGCGGTTTCACAATTTGTTATTGGTAATAATGTCAATTTTTAGTATTGCTAAATTTGGCGAAACTCATGAGGTTCTTATGTGAACTCTGTGATTTCAGGGCACTTCAAGTTTTCTCAGGCAGTGTTTAACCTTAAATACTCTTTAAGTTGCTAAAAGCCATTAACCTGTTTGTTGTCAAGTTCTTGTATTAGTTCTAGATTATCCTTGTAGATACCAATATTTTATGTCACATCAATAAGACATTTTGAAATGTTTCGATATTTTTATATGGTTCATTTTTCTTCAATTATCAAAAATCAAGGAGTCTGTCTATTCTACTGTAATTTCTCTCTTCCTGTCGATAAATTACTAATATTGATCTGAATTGGAATTCTTCCAACTTACATTTTTGTCACAATAGTTTCTACTGACTTCATACAGTGATATGCACAAAATAATTTTATTGTAAGATGTATATAAAATTATACATGTTGCATTGTTAAGTATATTCCTGAAGAAGAAAATTTCTGTTGTGACTAGATGAATGAGAACCACACCCTGAACTTAAAATTTTCTACATCTGGTGGTTGGAATATATTGATTCCACTGTGCAGACTTTTGGTGCCTCACCCCAAGGGATGCCTTTTTAGCATGACCATCTCTGACCCTGGACCCTAGGTCTCTCATGCCAGGCGAGTTGTCTCAGTGGATGGTAGGAGTGTTTCTGGAAGCCATTTCTACACGGAGACAGCTAGCAATAACATGATTATACATGGAAATGCTTGTGAAACTTCGTACCTTACAAAATGGTAAATCCTGATAGTGCCCACTTAAAACCGTTCAGTGTTTCCCAGTGCATTTTCAACTGTCTTTTTTGTGCTTGGGGACGTGAGGCACTGCCACCTCCACGTCCCCCAGTACAAGCAGACAGTTCCCCCTCTGGGGACACTCAAAGATAATGAAAAATGAGCAAAAGGATTGAAGGTGAAGATTAAAAAGAAATGATTAGGATGGAGTTGCCTTAATTCATTTTGTTCCTTTCAGGATGGCAGTCCGTGTGAAACGCTGTATCCCTGTCTGAGGTAAACCATGTCTCAAACATCTTCCTCCCTGCCAACCCGAATCCCGGCACCCACTAAATGGACCAAGGGGAAAGCTGGGCCTGCCAGCAGCTCTGACGGGGGAGAGGAGACCGGTGTACTCAGTCGTCAGCACGACGGCGGTCTCCCTCACAGAGGCGGCCTCCCTCATAGAGGCGGCCTCCCTCACAGAGGCGGCCTCCCTCACAGACCCTGCCTGGAACCCGCCGCCAAGCCCCCAGCAGGCGGCCCGCCTGGCGCCTCCTAGTCTTCGCACAAGCTGGGCCACGGTCTGGGGTCCCGAAGGCCGTTCACGAGGGCGCGCCTTGTCCAGGGCTAGGCTGTCAGCAGCGCCTCAGTCGCGGCCTCCTGACCTCGACAACCGGCTCCCGGTGGCGCCGCCCCAACCCCACGCGCCTAGCGTGCCCGGGGAAGCGCGCGCCACCTTTTTAACGGTTCAACCCTCGCGGGCGTGCGGCGGCTCTCGAGGCTCAGCGCCCGAGGCCACGCCCCGCGCCCGACCTGGGCCCGCCTCGTGCCCCTCGGAGCCGCCTCCCGCCCCGCCCCCCGCCGCCGCCACCGCGGTCAGCCAGCGTACCAGCGGCAGGAGCCGTTCCCCGACGGGCAGCGGGGCGCTCGGCCTCCGCGTCTGGGCTGAGCGCGGCGACGCTGCTGCCCCGAAATCCTCGTGGATCTTGAGTCAGTAAGTGGCTGGGGAGGATGAGCGATACTGGGGGACGGAAGTCGGGCCCCGCGTTGTGGAGGCGGGTGGGCGCCGTCTCCCAGGCCCGACCCCCGGGAAAGTTGAGGCGAGGGAGAGAAGCTCTGAGGTGGGTCGGGAAATCTCTGAGGGCCCCTTCTGTCTCCTGTGGACTCTGAAGTGGGAGTGGGATGGGAGCGAGCGCGTCGGATGAGGGGAAGGAAAGTGTAGGGGGCCGGGGGAGCCCGATAGAGGGGCAAGTGGCCGAGACCAAAGCCATCGCCAAAAAAGGAGCTAAGTACACAGCTCCCCTTGGCTCTGCCCCAGCACCTGCTGCCAGGCGGTGGGAGGCTTTCAAGACGATTTGCCCCCCTACACCCGGTGGCACAAGGTTTTCATTGCTGGTGTTTTAGTCAAAGCTACGGAAGGGACAGTTACATACTAAAGTAATCACAGACATCTTTAGCCCATCTAAATGTTAAATTGTGTTTGTTTTGAGAAATCCCTCAAATAGACCAAACAAAAAATTAAATTAGTTATAAAGAGAAGGCTTGAAATGGAAAATATGTTGGAACTCTCCTAGCTTCTAGGTTTTTGATATTTTCGTTTTAATTTTTCCTTAATAGTGCAACTAGGTATGTGGAACGTGAAATGTCTTTCACCACTTGAGTCATAGGTGGTTTATTTCTTACTCCCTGATATTTCCTGTATGTTTCTCTTTATCATTTTGTCAGTGTGAGCAGCTTACTTACAAGTAGCATTTGGTTTCAAGGAATCCTAACTTTGTAATGTTTTGAAGTTGGAAATTGAGATGAAATTTTATCTGGTTATCATATGGGAAATATACACAAGGTAAATGCAAATATGGTCTTTTCATTTCATCATTTCACTTCATATGATCTTATTTCTCAATGGCAGCAGAAGCATGAGTACTTTTCAAAGAAGACTAGAATTTATATTGGAGTTTAAGTATAGTACTCAGCTTCTAAAACCAATGCATAGTATGTTTCATATGCTGTGACCTATGGTTAGTATGGCAGTATATCACGTCTGTAGCGTGAGGAAAGCACAGTACTCCCTAATTTATTTAGTATTCTAAGAAAAATAGTAAATTGAGGAAATGGATATTACTAGCATATACCAATTTATTCTGCATGGCCTTATAAATAAATGTTACTTTTCACATTAATTTTTAAATCTGTACACGCAGTGTCCGCATGTAATAAGTGGACAGTCAGATATCTTTCTTTTATGTAACAAATAGGCAAGTTTTGATATAAAGGTGTGAACTTCGTAGTCAGATCCTAACATCTAGCACTTAGTAGCTGTGTGGACTCGGGCATGTCTCTTATTTTTCTGAGCCTCAGGTTTCTTATCTGTAAAGTGGGACTAATAATAATTTTCTCCCACAGTTCATATATGGCTCAAAATTAAATGAAATTATATTTAGTATGTAGTAGGACCTTAAAAATGGTTCTTAATCAAAAAATTAGATTAATAAGATTTTGGCCAAATTGGTCAGTATATCTGCTTATTATCCCATTGTATTTTAGACAATTCTAGGTTTATTGGTAATATCAGGACTGATAAGGCCTGAAGATTCATACTTAGGTAAATTTTTTAAAACAGGAAAGGAACCTAAGATATAGTTAGTATTGCCAGATGTAGAATAGCAACTGTAAATAACTAATTTACCAATATTCTATTCATACAACTTAGCCTTTAAAGATGATTTGTTAAGTGCATGTGAACTTGAAAAACACTATCAGCAACCATTTCTCAGCATGTATTAATAGAAAGTTTTTTGGAGACATCGGATCAAAATATCCTTTAAAAAACATTTATACCACAAAACTATACATTTACATTTTTAAATTTACATTTTGCAACCTTATGATTGGCTGACTACTTGCTACCCAATGTTGTAGGCAGGATTCTGTTTATTTTGTAACTGTGCTTTGAATAGTTGATATCATACATGCCTACTCTAGGTAGTACCAGTAGCTTCAAGGGAAACTTTTTGATCTCTACATTCCATGGATGAAGCAGGCATTAGAGTTTAAGACTGAATTTATTTAGTATAATGACTTTGTAGTGCAGTTAAGTCTATTATTTTTAACTAAACTGAGAATTAGGTTTTGGTTTATGGAGTTCTGCCTTAATTATAATCCTGTGAATCAGTTTTACAATAATAATTACTTTTATAAATACTTAACGTTTTTCATTAATTAACATGATAGTGGAATGTAGTATGCATTGTAATCCCAAACTTGTCCCCTATAATGTCAGTGTTTCCATGCAGGCATAGTTTACTTAAAAAAAAAAAAAACAAAAAAAACTAAACAGAGTACTGAATGACACCATCTTTTCTAATTTCCTTAACTGATGTGGATTTATATACAGGGAGTCATTGCTGTATCTTTCCTACTGTAAATCGAAGGGTAGGTGGCACCAAAAGAGCTTTGTTTTTTGTTTATTTACTTGTGTTGCAATGTCATATAATGGAGTTCTGTAATCGCCAACTCTTGAAAATCCCTAGTTTGAATACTGTGGATTTGCCTTGCTCAGCAATTGGAAAAGATTTAACAACCTACAACTAAATTTCAGCTGAGCAATGAAAAACAACGAAGTGTGTGCCAAAGTACTCTATTCTATTGTATTCTGATTCACTAGTTTCATGTGGGGAATAGGATGGAAAGTTACTACATACTAGTATTGGGGTCTTAACTAAAATAAATAGGATAAATATCAAATAAAGCAATGTATATTAGGTTGCTTTTTGGTCCTTATTTTAAATATACTCTTCCACATAGAAAATATTAATAACTATTTATTTGAAATATTTTTTTCTACTTGTGCTTATAACTTTTTTTAACATCTTGTTATATCCAGTTGTATTGCACAAAAAATACAGAGAGCATTAGCTTTGTTTAGAGGTTGTTAATTGCCACGTTGAAACACTAGTTAACAGACACATTACAAAGCTGGGTTGGTATTAACTTGAAGTACTTGCTGGGTTATCTCCAAATAGTAACTTTTGGGTGCTTAGTTATCATTCCTAATTTTGAGAGGTTGTTTATAAGTTTATAATTTTAACATTTGAATTATACATGTCCAAAGATATTTTAAAAACAGGATAAAGCATTTCTGGGAACTTAAAGGGTTACTAACTCTATCTTATACTTGGGGAAACAGGGACTTAGACGTATGATTTTCTTAATATCATATGGTTACAATTATTTCTGGATAAGCAGGTGCAAAATCAGGTGGAGTTTTGTTTTTGACTTTGTCTTGATGGGCGTCAAAATTTGGAAATCTTGTCTCCCATACAGGTGTTAGATTTTAGTTGCAGTGATGAGGTACTTAACATTTATAGAGTTTATTTAATAAATCTATGTTGCAGATACTAGAATACAAAAATAAATAAGGTCTGGTTTTTGTGGCCTCAACTAACTGATAGTCCAATCAAGTAGACATGTAACATATTTACTATGATATATTTTAGGAAAATTGATAAAATACAGTAGGGACTAGTGGAGGAGGAATATAAGGAAGGAAGACTTATTACTATTGCTATTATTATTTTATTGTTAGAGAATTTCATGTAGACTATTTATTTAACCTTACCTGTTGAGCCAGGGGCATATTTTCCAAGGAAGTGGCAAGAGCTTGATCTTGGTCTTGACAGATAAATAGCTATTTAGAAGAAGAACAGCCGAGATAGTGAGGAAACTATAGACAAAACACCTAAATGTCCAAATATATGATGAAAGAAAATAACGTTAATATTTTGGAAGTAGCATGAACAGAAATTAAAGACTGATACTGGAATCAGAGGCTCTAATTTAACCCATCAAATTGAAGGCAGTTTTATCAAGTGTGGTCCAAGGGAGTTGGTGATGACTTTAAAGGAATACAGGAGTTAAAGTTATTAATTAGATTTTAGATATGTTGAATTTGAGGTACCTGTGATAATATATAAATTGAAATATTATTAGACAATGAGAAAAATAGAACTTGAGTTTAAAAGAGAAGTGGATTCTGGAAGTATAAATTAGGGCATATTTATCATGTAGATGGGAAGTTGCAGCCATGAGCGTAGATGAGTTTTAGCTAAGAAGACCAAAGCCAAATTTGGAAGAAAGACAGAAGAAGAGGAATCAGTGAAGGAAGTTAGAAGAGGCAATCAAAGAAATAGGAAACAAACCAAAAGAACATAGCCAGGGCAACATAGTGAGACCCCATCTTTAAAAAAAATGTATTAACCGGGCCTGGTGGTTCATGCCTGTAATCCCAACTATTTGGAAGGCTAAGGCAGGAGGATCTCTTGAGCCCAGGAGCTTTAAGTTGAAGTGAGCTATGATTGTGCCACTGCAGTCCAGCCTGGGTGACAGAGTGAGATTCTGCCTCAAAAGAAAAGAAAAACAAAAAGAAATATAGAGTCAGTAAAGTTAAGGAAAGAAAATGTTTTAAAGAGAGAATGTTTAACTGTGACAAATGCTATAAAAGGAGTCTGAGTATTGCATATTAAATGCTTTTTTGTGTTTGTATTTTCCACTTTAACTTGTAAAATAGGCATCTTAAAAAAAGATGTGGTTATTTGTATATATGTAAAGCATCTTGATTGTTTCGTCCAAAAGATAAAAATGTGTTTTTTCATCTTCTAGTATGGAACCTCAAGGTCTTTGTGACAATGGAAACCAAAAAATTAATTGGCAAACCGCTTCAACCAGCAAGACCTGTTCGTCATCTGACTTCTCCCCCAGGTGAGTAATAGATTATACAGTTCTTTAAATATTAATGTATTAATGACTAATTAGTATTTGAAAAGCTAAATAATATATAAAGCAATTGTTTCAGGTGGATATTTAAAGAAATAATGAAAACTAAGAGTTTATAAGTATTACTGAAGGAAAAAGATTCTTAATTACCTACCAATCTGTAGTCTACCACACCAACAAAGGTAGGAAGAATAACCCTTGACTGAAAGTAACTTTTTGTGTGTGTGGTTTTTTTCATGTCTCATTTTTGTAGGCTTCTGGCTTCTGGTCAGAGTGATACACCCAGTAAAAATTGTGCCCTGTGGCCGGGCGCGGTGGCTCAAGCCTGTAATCCCAGCACTTTGGGAGGCCGAGACGGGTGGATCACGAGGTCAGGAGATCGAGACCATCCTGGCTGACACGGTGAAACCCCGTCTCTACTAAAAAATACAAAAAACTAGCCGGGCGAGGTGGCGGGTGCCTGTAGTCCCAGCTACTCGGGAGGCTGAGGCAGGAGAATGGCGTGAACCCGGTTGGCGGAGCTTGCAGTGAGCTGAGATCCGGCCACTGCACTCCAGCCTGGGCCTCAGAGCGAGACTCCGTCTCAAAAAAAAAAAAAAAAAAAAAAAAAAAAAAAAATTAGCATAAATCTTAAAGGTTCTGTAGTAGTTGTGTCATACTTGTACTCTGATAGAGGTTGTTGCTGTGTTTGAACTGGAACAGATCTAATTTCAAAAAATCTATTTTAAACATTCTAAAATGTTTTTCTTTTGCCCATGAAGATATTCTTTTGGACAAACTCCTGAAATACCTAGTATTTAACTTCTAAATTGGAATATTAGTCTTTTAATTGTATTCATTACTTATTGGTAGAATGGCTTCTGTGTCTACTTTAGGTGATACACATACAACTTTTTAAACTTTTTCTTAGTCTATGTATTCAGCTGACTTAACTTACTACTTAGAAATGGGAAAATACAGATATTTTATTGAGTTTACAGATGAAGCAAAAAAGGTAGAAGAGGCTCCAGTTTCGATCCTGTGTTCATTTTCCCGTCATTGGATCCTTCAAGGAAGATAATCTTCACTTTGGTCATGTTTGCTCTCAATATGCCTGTGACTTATGTCAGATAAGTGAAATTAATGAATCTTCTGGTACCATAGCTGAGTAATGCTGATTCTATATACTTCTGATGCAGTGGAAGTGGTTGTGTAGGGTCAAGTCTCAAATTTTATCCTAAAGGAAAGAATGTAAAACCATTGCAGCAGCTCTTTTCTGTGACCAGACTTTTTCCTGCACCTCCCACCCCACTTCATCTCTGAAGATCCAGTTTTTCACTGATTTCTCTCCAACACTGTTACATGAAAGAATGAGAATGAAAGGGGATACAAGGTGGGCAGGTAGCCCTGGTATCTTATTTGGTTGTACCTTCTTAAGATCCAGACAAGAGAGTAGGGGATTATTAGGCAGAAAAGTCTAGTAAATCAGAAAATAATTTTGGTGTTTCTTAACACACTTACATACTCCCTGGCCATCTCAGATCCCTAAAGGAATCATTTACTTTTTCTTTTAGAATAAGATTTAATTACTTCATGTTGTGAAACCTTTGTGATACCCCAAACCCACTCCGCTTGGCGTAGTACTTTCTCTAAATCTCTCAATAAGCTTACTGCGTATCAAATTATATTATAATCATTATATATGAGCTTGTCTTTTAAAATAGATTGTGAACTCTTATCTCTGAACTCTTTTCATGTTTGTATGCCCATCCTTTTAACACAGCATCAGATACTTCATAAGATTGGATGAATGTTGAATAAATGAACTGTCGGAACACATTTCAAAATGGTGCCAAGAATATCCTGGATACTTAAGCTTTTTGTTGATTATATTATTTATTGAAATAATAGATATATAAAATCGTTTTCTTCCTCTCCTAACAGGAGCAGTGTTCCCTTTCAACTTTCAAAATGAATATCCGTGCAACACTCAGTGCATACAAAGTGGAGTTAGCAGAGTAAGTTTTAGAAATTATAACAAAAAGAAATATTATAGGTTGGAAAGTAACGTGTGTTAGATGGTTATTGTGTGCCAGATACTATGCTTTATATACTTTTTAAAAATTTATGTACATATGTTAAAAAGAATGTAACACCCATTTATCTGTCACCCAGCATTTTAAAGTCTAAACATTTTGCTATATTTGCTTTAAAAAAGTTTAAAGAAAGAAACTTAACATATAGTTACAAACCCTATATATGTGCTTCTACCATCCTATTTCCTTCCCATCCTGCCCGTAGATAACTATCCTCAGTTTATTTTTTCCATGAATGTATTTGTACTTTTGCTATGACAAATAGAATTGTTTTGTTTTACATAAATAGGATTTTGTCATCTTTGCTTTAACATTTTATTACAAATTTTAATTTTTTGACTAAGTAAATTAGTCACAAAGTTTAAAATTCAAAATATACAAAATGACATTTATTGAAAAGTTTCCCTCCAATCTCTGTCCCAGTCTCTTATTTCCTCTGATCAGAAGTAAGCATTGCACCAGTTTCTTATCCAGATGCATTGTACCAGTTCCTTACCTAGATACTAATTCTTTCTCTCTCTGTCTTTTTTGTTTTGTTTTGTTTTGTTTTTGAGACAGAGTTTCTCTCTTGTTGCCCAGGCCGGAGTGCAATGGCACGATCTCGACTCACTGCAATCTCCGCCTCCAGGGTTCAAGCGATTCTCCTGCCTCAGCCTCCTGAGTAGCTGGGATTATAGGCACCCGCCACGACGCCCAGCTAATTTTTTTTTTTTTTTTTTTTTTTTTTTTTTTTTTGTATTTTTAATACAGGTGGAGTTTTACCATATTGGTCAGGCTGGTCTTGAACTTCCAACCTCAGGTGATCTGCCTGCCTTGGCCTCCCAAAGTGTTGGGATTACAGGCTTGAGCCACTGTGCCCGGCCTCTCGCTACTATTTCTTATCCACGAATAGACTATGCATGCACAACCATAAGTATGTTTGTAAATGGAATACTAGGCAACTTTACAATGAATAAAGCAGTTAAATATGAACTGATATAGAATAATCTTTTAATATATGGGACTATACCACATTTTTTTCCATTTTCTGTTGATGGGCACTTGTTTCTATATTATAATAAATGCTATTGTGACTGCCATCTATATATTTCGTTTTGATATGTTTGAGAAGTTTTCTGTGGCATAAAATTAGAGTAGAATTACTAAGTATTCTTAATTTCAACTTTTAGATGCTGCCAAATTACTCTTCAAAGCAATTTGTATGAACAGGGGCTCTGATTTTTCTACGTCCTCACCTTACTATTGTCAGACTTGAACATTGGGTGAGACAGTAGATGAGAAATTATATATTTTGGTTGGTTTTAATTTTTAATTCTCTATTACTTGTGAAGTAGAGCGTCTTTTCATATGTTTAGTTTGATCATTTGGATTTCTTCTTTTGTGAATTGCCAATTCATATTATTATCCCATTTTTCCTGGATTTTCTTCTTTTTGATTTATATACCTTTAAAATATGTTCTGGATTCTAATTATTTTTCTTATATGCATAAAAATATTTTCTTTTCCAGGAATATTGTCTATTAGAGAGTCATTTTTGTGTGGCATTTTTTGTTTAAAAGTTTTAAATATTAATGTAGTGATATTATCAATGTTTTTCTTTGGGATTTCACTTTTAAGAAGCCTTCCCATTTCCAAAATTAAAAGATATTTTCCTATATATTCTTCCAAAAGCTTTGAAGTTTTGCTTTCATATTTAGGTGTGTAGTCTACCTAAAGGTGATTTTTTGGATGGTGTAAGATAGAAATCTAGATTTTCTCCTATAAGCTACTGATTGTAAAGCATAATTTATTGAATAATTCATGCTATAAATCAGTGGAATCTTAATTATATAATAATTTTTCATATACACATATCTTTTCTGGGCTCTTTGTTCTAGTGATCATATTTTATCGCTGTATAATCAATATCATGATGTCTTAATTATTCTGGCTTTATTATGAGTTTTCTATGTCATAGAAATGTTTTATTTGTTCTAGCAGCTAACATTTCCCTAATTAAATACGACAATAATATTCATTACTTTTTGGAACCATTGACCTTCTTTTACTTTATATGTAAAAAATTAATATGTTAACATTGCAGTTTTATAGAGAAAAATCAAATTATGCAGTTAAATTACTTCTAAATGTACAATTGTGTCTGCTGCTTCAATTATGCAAACGCTAGTAGAACCTATGTTAGAGATACTTGATATATTTTCAAACCACCTTTATTGAGGTATAGTTTGCATATAGTGAAGTGAACTCATTTGTTCAATGAGTTTTGAGAAATATTTATCCCATGTAATGAACCCCACAATGAAAATCTTCCATCATCCTCCAAAATGTCCTTATATCCCCTTGCAGTAATTTATCACTTACCCTTAACATTAACCCCTTGCCCTCCTTCCTGCCCCATACATCCACTGATCTGCTTCTTTTAATGATAGATAAGTTAGTTTTTACTGTTCTAGAGTTTCATATAAATGAAAAATATAATGTGTATTCCTTGGTGCTGGGGTTCTTTTGCTCAGCATTATGTTTATGAGATCCTTTCATGTTGTATATATCAGTAGTTTTTTTTTTAAATGTGGAATAATATCCTACTGTAAATATACAACAATTTGTTTATTAATCAGTTGATGAACATTGAATTGTATCTAGTTTTTGGATATTATGAGTAATGCTACTATAGACTATCATGTACAAATCTTTGTGTGGAAATACACATACTATCCAGGAGTGGAATTGATAGATCATATAGTAAGTTTGTTTAGCTTTATATCATAAAATGTTTTCCAAAGTGGTTGTGCCATTTTACCTTCTCATCAGTAATATGAGGGAGCTCCAGATGCTTCACAGCCTTGCCAACATTAGTATGGTCGATCTTTTTATTTTTAGCCATTTTAGTGTGTTAGTAGTGGTATCTCATTGTATTTAACATTTTCTTAATGTTTAGTGAGATTGAGATTCTTATCATGAACTTCTCTGACATCTGTGTTTTCCTTTTCCTTTTTCTTTCTTTAAATTTTTATTTTTTGGTAGAGTGCCTATTCATGTCTTTTTGCTTATTTCTGTTATTTGAGTTGTCTTTTTATTATTGAACTGCAAAAGTTCCTTGAAAAACCAGTATATCACACATGCATTAATTTATTTCAAAACTGTGTTATGTTCTGTTGATTTATGTCTACTTTTATGTCAATATTACACTTTATAGTCTACTGTAGCTTTATGCTAAGTCTTGAAACCAGGTTATGAAAGGTCACTAACTTTGTTTCTAAAATTTATCTTTACAATTCTAGGTCTTTTGTATTTGCATATAAATTTTAAGTGAGTTTGTCATTTTCTACAAAAAAGTCTATTGGCATTTTGATTGAATTTATAGATTAATATGGGAAGAATTGACATCTTGTGATCTGTTAACTTGACATACCCCTTGATTCTTTGTATTTTCCAGCATAGAGCTTTTGAACATCATTTATACAATTTATAAGTGTTTCAGATATTTCGATAGTATTGTAAATGGTATTTTTTGGTAAATTTTAAATTTTACTGGTTGGTTGCTAGGGTTTAGAAATATAATTGATTTTGTTAAACTCAGTTATTAGATCTAGTAACTTTTTATGGAGACCACCCTTCCGTTCTTGTGCTTATTATGATGATAATTTTACTTTTGTTTGGACTGTAAACACACAATCATTACTAATGTTTTTTTCTTTCTGTGTTATCTTTTAACTTTAAAAACTGAAATAATTTTATTTTACTTTCATTTATTGACTTCCCAGAACTTTTTATTTCTTTGTGTAAATCCATGGCTCTATCTGGTATTATCTTCCTTTATGAACAACTTTCTTTAACCTGTTTTTCATTATTTCTTCATAACAAAGTATTTGAAAATTTTGGCTTAAAACAACAGCTTATTGTTTTCTTTCATGGTCTCCTGGGATGACTGAACTCAGCTGGCCATATCTCACTTTAGTATAGTCATGTAGTTGAAGTCAGATAGCATCTAAGACAGCTAAAGGCTTGACTGGACTGGATGATGAAAATGACTCACTCACATGGCTGTCAGTTAATACTGGCCATTGGCTTGGAGCTCAGCTGGTACTATGAACTGGAATGAGCACCTACAAATGGCCTTTCCAAGTGGCTTGGGCTTCTTATAACACTACATGTGGGTTCCAAGACTAATGTTCAAAGGGACAGGAGATAGAAGTTGCCAGCCTCTTAATATCTGGGATTGGAAACTAGCACTGTGTCACTTCTGAAATGTATATTGGTAGGAGCAGTCATAGATCTTGCCAAGATTTAAGTGAAGGAGATACAGAATTTACCTCTTGATGAGAAGAGTATCAAGAATTTGTGGCTAACTTTAATCTGTTTCAGAGTCATTTGGATTTCCTCTCCTCTGTGTTACCGTTTCTTGTCCTTTGCCCATTCTCTTCTATAGGCTTTTTTATTTTTTTTTAAATTGTTTCCTGGGAGCCCTTTTAGGTGAAACTATTTAAGATACGAATTGTAATTTTTTTCCTGTTTACCTTTTATCTTTTGATGTTGCCTAGAAATCTCGCACTTTAACTTTTCATTCCAGGAATAGAGAGTGATAGGCATTTGTCTCTTCTTATTCTCTTTCCTGATCTCAGTGGTATACATTTGTTTAAGATGAGTGACAGAGGGCTGGGAACTTTCTTGCTATAGAATATAAAAGGGCCATGTGGGGTGCTTACACTTGTAGTCCTAGCACTTTGGAAGGCTGAGGTGGAAGGATCACTTGAGCCCAGGAGTTTGAGACCAGCCTGGGCAATGTAGCAAGATCTTGTCTCTACAAAAACTTTTGAAAAGTAGCTGGGTATGGTGGTATATGCCTGTAGTCCTAGCTCCTCAGGAGGCTGAATTGGGAGGCTGACTTGAGCTCAGAAGTTCAAGGTTACAGTGACCTATGACGTGGCACCGTACTCCAACCTGGGTGACAGAGTGAGACACTGTCTCAAAAAAATACAAAAAGTCTAAATAGAACTTCTGAGCATGCATACTGGGGAATTGTACCATTACAAAGAGCACTTGATTTGAATAAAATTGTAAGAAACTTGATGCTTATCCTGCTTTACTCCTCTGTTTAACCTTTTCCATTTCCTGAACTAGCCATATTTTCCTATGCTCTTCAGTACAAGGCTATTCTTTTATTCCATAAACATTAATTTTTCATTAGTTTGCCAGTCTAACTCCTACTGATCCTTCAAGAGTCAATATAAGCATCATCTCCTATGTAAAGCCTTTCCTGGCATTTCTAAGCCAAGTTTGATACCCTGACTCAGTTCTTTTATTGTACTTTCTGCATATCTTTATTACAGAGCTTCTCAGATTTTATTATGATTTGCTTTTTTATTTTTCTGCCTTTTAGTTTGTGAGTCTCTGAGAACAGATACTGGAATGTCATGTTCATCTTTGTATTTCCTGACACAAAGCACAGTGCTTGTCATGTCATAGGCACTCTGTGTTTGTTAAATGGATGAGTTTAACAGGTCCGCTACTACCCATTTGGCAACTTTGCAAGAATTAGAAGAGGAATGAAAAATTATAGAAAATACACGTTTTTTTGGGTTTTGTTTTGTTTTGTTTTTTTGAGTAAGATACTTTGCTGCTATTTGCTAGAAAACATACAACATTTATGTGGTGAATGATAACCCTTTAGATGCATACCCTTCACAAATTTACATAGTAGCCTTGAGTTTCAAAACCTAGCTCAGCTGTTTCTTATCTGTGTACTTTTGGCTTGGTCACCAAACTTTTCTGGTCTGATTTTCCTTACCTATAACATAGTGATCATAACACTTGCCTTATTCCTTATAGGATTATAATTAAATGAGATAACATATAGATAATCACTGTATAAAACTTTTTGTAGGTGTACTTTTTACATGCTATTATTTGAAATAATCAGTATTTTAAGTTTTTAATATGTACAGACATGACAAAGTACAATTTTACCTTCAAGTCTGATTTTAGATCTTGCATTTAAGTAGATGTTACACACTTAGTGAAATGTGCATCTGCTAAAATTTCCAGAGGTAAGAAATAGTCTTTTTTTTAATTTTTAGAATACCATTTTATAGTTAATTAAATACAACAGTCTAGAAGAACTTTGGAGAACCCAAATCTTAGGCATTTTCCATTTTTTCTATCTCTACTTAAAAAGCTCTACTAAAACTTGATTTTTTTTCTGATGACATTCTTATTTCAATAGTGTGGAATTATCTCCATAGACTTTATTGTGTCAGCATTAGATAATTAGTCCTACTGCCTTTAGGTGGAGTAGTTAGCATTCACAGATATTTAAGGAATGGCTTACAACTTGTCAATACAATGATTGATGGAGCACAGATATTTATTTTTAAGGATAGATGTTTCCAAAGAAACCTACTTTCATTGAGATTTACCTTAATTCAGGGATGGTTTGCAAACTGATTTTTGTCAGCACAAGAGGAGATAATCTCTCAGGGGTAGATAGTATTAACCAAGTTTGTAAAACTGATTTATAAAATCAGAACACCAATTATTTTATAATGAGAAATCTTGATGTCTTATGTTCTGGGTTCCTCTTATTGGTACAACTGGTATATTGTTTACTTCTAGGGAGATTTATGGAAAGCTAAATTGAATCTGAGTATGTCCTGGTGAGTGTGGGATCAGAAGAAAAGGATTTAGGTAAAAATGAATTTTTAAAATATCATCAGATTAGCTTAGCCAATCTTATAACAAAGATGGTCTTGCAAGTGAGACTGGAAAAACTCTGCACTAAGGCGTCTCTCTTCAAGACATAGAACTCTGCCAGTGTTTCTGATTTTCTTTGTCTCATTGGATAACATCAATTTTTCTTATTTCTCTTATTTCCAAGGCATTAGGTGAAATAGTCCATAGGCTTATAAAGCGACATCAGTCTTTACTTCAGAGATTAAAAAAGTAAATAGTATTCTTGCAGAATTTTTGTGAATAAAAATGTTTTGTTTTCATCTATTAAATTTTTTTTCCAAATGGCATTTTTGTCAAGAAAAAAAGTACTTTTAGTGACTATGGAATTATTTATCTTTAGGACAATAAAATTCATCTTTAGTTTTATATTCCTTTTCAATAATAATTATAATAATGCCAAAAAACTGTAGATATATGTGAAAATATTTTGAAAGATGTTTTTGTTGCTCATTTTAAATAAGCAGACTTATAATGATTGCTTATTACTTAGCTCCTACTAAATGCGTATATTATTAGGAAAATATTTTTGGGTAGTTAAACTAATTATATAAAATTTTAAAACATGAGTTAAAAAGTTTATTTTCTTCATGTTTAACAGTGTAAGACGAATGGAATGCAAGCCTTTTCTCAAGGTCTTAATGAACAACAGCAACATCAGTCTCCAGTTAAAAAAGGTAAAATTTTATCATAATTCCCAATTTTATCATTGAATGTCTTAGCATTCATATAAAGTTAATATTACTGTATTACTCCATTGTAAGTTGAGAAGCATCTGTATATATAGAAGATCCTAGGTAATTCACATAAACTATTAGAGCTAATAAAAATAAATTAAAGTTGCAGGATGCAAGACCACTGTTGTTTATGATTTTAATAATTTGAGTCATTTTTTTCCTAATCAGTCTTGGTAAATGTTTGTTAGTTTTTGTCTTTTCAAATAACCAACTTTTGGTTTTGCTGATTTTCTCTGTTGTTTTTTATATTCTCTATTTCATTTATCTTCACTCTGATCTTTATTATTTAGTTCATTTTTTCTAGTATTTGATTTAGTTTGCTCTTTTCTCCTAGTTCCTTAGTGTGTAATGTTAGATACTGAGTTATTTCTTCTTTTGTAATAAGACGTTTATAGCTATAAACTATGCTCTGAACACTGTTTTTGCTTCATCTCATAAATTTTGATATGTTGTAACTTTGTTTCATTTGTCACATATTTTCTAAGTCCCCTGTTGTTTATTCTTTGATGTATTGGTTGTATAAGAGTGTGTTTTAATTTACACATAGTGGTGAATTTTCCAGTTTACTTCTGGTTTTGATTTCTAGTTTTATTTCAGTGTTGCCATAGGGCATACTTTGTATGATTTGAATCTTTTTAAATTTATTGAGACTGTTTTGTGGGCTAACATATGAGTTCATCCCGGAGAATGTTCCATGTGTGTGGAACATGCGTGCTCTGGTTCCATGTGTGCTTCAGAAGAATGTATATTCTGCTGTTGTTGGGTAAAGTGTTGTATATATGTAATTAGGTTAGTTGGATTGTAGTGTTCACGTTCTGTTTCCTTGTTGATCTTCTGTTAAGTTTTCCTATCCAATATCGAGCGTGGAATATTGTAGTTTCCAGTTATTAACATTAAAATGTCCATTTCTATGCTTAATTCTGTGTTTTTCTTTCTGTTGTTGGGTATACATGTGCTTATAATTGTTATATCTTCTTGATTAATTGATGCTTTTATCATTGTATAAATGTCCATTGTCTCTTATAACAATTTTTGTCTTAATGTCTATTTTTGTCTAATATTAGTATACTCCCTTCAGCTGTCTTTTGGTTACTGCTTGAATTGAATATCTTTTACAGTCTTTCAGTTTCAACTTATTTTTGTCATTGGATCCAAAATGAGTCTCTTGTAGACAGAATATAATGAGATGATTTTAAAAAATTCATTCTACCAATCTCTGCCTTTTATAATAATTGAAAAAGTTAGTGCATTTACATTTAATGTAATTAACTGATTTAAAAAGGACTCAATCCTCCCATTCTGCTATTTGTCTTCTGTATGTCTTTTTTTGTTACTTGATTCCTCCATCACTGTTTTTTGTGTTTAATAGGTATTTTCTAGTGTACTATTTTTATTTCCTTTTAGTTTACTATATTTTTTATGTTCCTAATTGCTGTGTTGGGTATTAATTTAATATATAACAAACTAGTTTGAATTAATATCAACTTACTTCCAATGTTATATGAAACATTGCTCCTATATAGATCTCTAAAGTCACCTTTATGTTGTTATTGTCATAAATTACATCTTTATACACCTTCTGTCATCTATTGACCTAGATTTATAATTATGCATTTTTATGCACTTGTCTTTTAAATCATATAGGAGAAAAGGATGAACTTCATACTGAAAATTTGTTGATGCTTTTATATTTGCCTGTGTAGTTACATTTACTGGTGTTCTTTATTTCCTCATGTGCATTTTAGTCACGTACTATCCTTTAAGTCTGAAAGATTCCCTTTAGCATTTCTTGTAAGACAGGTTTACAAGCAGTAAACTCTGTCAGTATTTGGTTATCTGTGAATGTCTCCATTTCTGCTTCATTTTTGAAGGAGCTTTTGTCAGGTATAGATTTTTTGATTGACATGTTTTTTGATTTCAGCACTTTAAATATGTCATCCCATGACTTCTGACATCCATAGTTTCTGATGAGAAATCAGCTGTTTATCTGATAGAGAATCCCTTGTAAAGTGATGAATTGCTACTGTCTTTCTGACCTCAAGATTTTCGTTGACTTTAACAGATTGATTACGATGTATCTATGTGTGAAGAATCTCTTTTAGTATACAGATAAATGCTCCTTAACTTATGGTGGGATTACTTCCCAATAAACTCATCATAAGTTGGAAATATAAGTTGGTATGAGAGTCTTTGGCCCAGAGAGTCTTTGGTCAGAGAATCACCAGTGCTTAAAGTCTGAAACCTTGAATTGCTTTCACATCATCATAAAGTCAAACAATTGTAAGTCAAACCATCATAAGTTGGGGGTTGTCTGCATTCTATTTGTAGTTTGTTGAACTTCTTAGATGTATAGATTCTTTTTTTGTTGTTAAATTTTGGAAATGTTATTCCACAATTTCTTCAAATACCATTTCTTCTCCTTTTTCTCTCTCTCCTCCTGGCACTCCCATTATATATTTGTTGGTATGCTTGATGGTAACCCATAAGTGTCTTAGACTCTGTTCATTTTCTTTATTATTTTTTCTTTCTGCTCCTCAGACTGAATAATGTCAATTAAATTACTTTTAAATTTGCTGATTCTTTCTTCTGCCTGCTCAAATCTGCTGTTGAAACCCTCTTGTGAATTTTTCACTTCTGTTATTGTACTTCTCAATAATTTCTATCTGGCTTCTTATAAGTTTCATCTCTTTATAGATATTCTCTATTTAATGAGACACTCCTCTCATAATTTTCTTTAGCTCTTTGAGCATATTTAAAATAGTTTATTGAAAGTCTTTCTCAAGTAAATTCAATGTCTTGGCTTCCTTGGTGAAAATTTCTATTTCTTTTTTTCCAATGAATGAGCCCATACTTTCTTCATTCATTGCGTGCTTTATAATTTTTGTTGTGGTGGTTGAGAACTGGACATTTTGAATGTTATGATGTGGCTGCTCTGGAAATCAGATTTTCTTTCTTCCCTTGGGTTTGTTGTTGCTCTTTGTTGTAGTAGTTGTTGTTAGCTTAGTGACTTTTGCAAACTAATACTGTAAAATCTGTATTCTTTGTCATGAATGACCATGGAAGTCTCTATTATGTTATCTTAGTGGTCAGCTAGTGATTTGACATAATTTCCTTCAATGGCTAGAACCATACCAAACTGAAAAACAAAGAAGCCCCTCTTTCAGCCTTTGCATAAGGCCTCTATGTATTTTGATGTATTGCCTTAATTCTGCTTTCACCTTCATTTCCTGCTTGGTAGGAATCTGAAAGTCAGCCAGGAGTGAGTGCTTAGGATCTTCTCAAGTTTTTCTGTGAACATGAGCCTAGCTTTGCCATGCATGTGGGCTTCTATAAAGAATATTTGGGATTCTTTCAGTGCCCTTCTTCCTCAAAGCATCTTGTTTTTTCAGTTTTTCCTCCCAAGCTTTTTGGTATGCCTAATGTTTGCTCCAATTGTTATCCCTTGTCTCAGGTGGAAGCAACTAATACATTTTCCTGTAAATGTTTGGACAAATGGATTTTGGGCAGCAGCTTTAATGCTAGGAGAATTCTTAGTTAGGTGTGAAGTACAGGCAAGCTTCTCAGAATGGTTCCTCAGGGAGCCACCAGAAAGGTCAAAACAAATAATCATAATTTTTTGAGAATGAAGTCTGTACTACTCCCTCCAGTTCTGGGAACCTGTAAAAGTAACGAGGGCTGTTGTTTTCAAGGCCATGGCCTATCTGGGGGATGGTCCCAGGTAAGTTAAATGCCACAAATTTTTTCCCAAATTTAGCTATTTTTTTGTTCACTAAGCATTCCCCTGGTTTTTACAGGCTTTGGGTTAGAGTCCGGGGTTCGGAGAAAGTTGATTCTGACAGTTTTTATGAGCTTACTTGTTTTTGTGGAGGAAAGACTTTTAGAGTTCTCTACTTGGCTGTTTTACCTGACATCACTTACCTCCATTTCTTGAGTTTTATGTTTTCTTCTTTATTGATTTATGTCCTTATTTTGCTCAAGTACATTCTCCAGGAGTTTCATGAAAAAAAGGGTATTGGGTTGGTGAATTCTTTGAGTTTGTGTATTTGAAAATATCTTTATTCTGTTCTCACACTTGATTGATGGTTTGGCTACATAGAATGTTCCAGATTAAGGATGAACCTCAAAAATGTTACATGAAAGAAGCCAGACCCAAAATTTCTGATAAGTTAAATTTTCCTTGATGTATTTCAGAACTGTGTATTAGGAACAACACATTGATAATTGTTACCTGTTAGTTGATAGGAAGATAAGATAGTAATTCAACCCTTCTTATTCCTAGTCTTTGCATTTTTTATATCCATTTACTTTCAACTTATATGCCTTTATATTTAATATGTGTCTCTTGTAGACAACATATACTAGGATCTTCTTATTTTTTAAATCCACTCTGTCAATTTGTAGTCCTTAATGTAATGTTTAGGGGGTCAGTAAACTATGGCTTACAGACCAATTCCTGTTTTTATAAATAAAAATGTATTGAAACATAGCCACATCCTTCATCTGTATATTATCTGTGGCTGCTTTTGCTTTAACAGTAATACATATTTCTTAAAACAAAACTTAGAGAAAAAAAGGAATCTGTTATACTTACCCACCTATTTATCATCTCTTTTGCTCTTTATTTCTCAACAGTAAAGTTTCCATCTAGTATAATTCCCTTCAGCCTGTAGAACTTCCTTTAGTATTTCTTGAAGATCACATCTGCTGGTGATGAATTCTTTCAATTTTACTTTATCTGAAAATGTCTTTCCTTCACATGCATTTCTGAGGGGTTTTTCCCCCCACTGGACATGAGATTGTTGGTTACTGTTCTTTTCTTTTAGAACATTAAACATATTATTCCATTGCCTTCTGGGACAGCATATAATCTGTCTTGGTGATCGTTTCTGGTAATCATTTCTGATTTGAAATCTGCAGATATTTGAAACATTGTTCTCCTTGAAGGTAAGGGCCCTATCTTGGGTCCTATTCATTATTATCTAGCACAGTTCCTGATACATAGTAAGATGTACAATAAATGTTTCTCAAATTGAATTTATTTTTATTGTGTTAAGTTTTTAGTATTGATTGAGACTTGATAGGCTCATTAAAGTAACATTTTGGCAGGATCTGAATTGCCTAATAGTTTTTACTGTGGTTATACTTTATAGAAGATCATTTTACTAGACCTGAATAACCAGATGAAAAAAGCCATGCATTCCCCATTTTCCTAATTATATTTCTTTCATTTTTCCTTGGTTACTTGGTTTTCTTTCTATGTAAAAGGAGAATTGGAGGCAGTAGATGCTTTTCAAAGCTTTTTTCTCCTCCTCTTTTGCATAGACACACTACTCATCATTTTATAAAATAATAGAGGACATCCAGAAAAAAATAAACCAGAAAGTGATCTAGACAGCTCTGCATTTCATAACATTACATTTGATGTTTAATATCTACAGAGAGAATTAAATACAGCAGAGATTTCCTGTTGAAGCTCTCAAGTGTTTCCATCTGCAGAAAAAAACCAGACTTTCTGCCTGATCATCCCATTGTACTGCAAAAACCAGTAAGTAGTTTTCTAAGTTTGTATTGTAATATTATATTAAAAATATTTTTCTTTAACATTTTCATCAGACTCTACCTCTAGATTTTTAACCGTCCTTATTATAAGATACAGGTAATTCAGAAAACTACAAAAATCTAAAGGTATAATAAACCAATTATTATAAAGTAACTCTGTCTAAAAATTAGAATGGAATAGTTGTATTTTGTTTAAGAAATATTTTTAATTGGAAGGTCATGAAAATATCCAATACTCTAAAAGTTTTATTTTTTCAATTAAATTATATTTGCCACCTGGAATTAATTTTACTCTATGATGTGAGGTGGGCATCAAGTTTTACCTTTTTCTACATGGATATCCAGTCATTTTAAAAATATTTATTGAAATGGTACTTCTCTGACATCTTTGTGGCAATATATGCGTGGTCTGTTAATGGGCTATCCAGAAGTTCAATTAGTCTTTTTATACATTATAACAAATCATCTCATGTATTTTTCTTTAACATGTCTTTGCTGTTCTTAGCCCTTTATATTTCTGTTACCTTATCAAATTCCATCTAAATAAATACACATAATGAATACATACATGCATCTCTTAGGATATTTATGGAAAGGACATGGATTTTGTCATCAGACATGGCTTCAAATTGTAGCTCCATTCTGTGTACTGGCAGTTCAAACTTGGACAAGTCAGTTAACATCATTGAACCTTAGTTTTGCAGTTGCTGATAAGGATGATAATCTCTGACTGTTAGGATTAATAAAATAATGCATGAGATTACTGAGTATGATACTTTTCTCTCATTTGCTCTTAGTAAATGATTCCCATTCTTTATGGTCTCTACTTACATTTGACTGGAATTTAACTTTCTATTAGAGTTTTCGTAAATACCTTTATATAGGTAAAGGCAGCTAGGACTCTTCTGATATGAGATTCAGGATATAGGTATACTGAGAAAAGTTCAAATGGGAGATATATGGTACTACCTCCTATCTCCATTTTTGGTATTCTAATTCTTTGGAATTCATAGTATTTTTTCCCTCAAATTATAATTTTTAAAAAAGTTATGTTGTTCATAGTTTATGTTAATATTTCTTAAACTCCCTAACTTTAAATCTCTAGCCAATTCTTTTAAAAGTTAATTAAAGCAGGAATTAAAATTTTGTATAATACTTCTCATACAGGAATATTAAATAAGAAAAATGTACTTGATATTTCAACTTTTCCACCTGTTCAAAGATCTTTGGGATATGTAATCCATGGTCTGTAAGAATAAATGTAAACTTCAGTGCTATATAAACTATAGTCACTGTTTCATTTGTAGACTTTCCACCTTTAATAACATTTTATTGTGTAAATAAAAGCTTGACATACACTTTTTAAAACAAACTTACACATTAGAATTCATTTTACTTTTGATTTACACATTAATACATTTTTTAAAACTAGGTGCCACAGAAACAGAACAACAGGTTTGGAATACGATTTAATATATTTTAAAATGAATTACATATATTTTTAAAACATGAGCCATTTTGTTACTTGACAGTTCTAGTTACTTTAATAGTTTCTATGTTAACATGCATTTAAATCTGTAAACACCTGGTACATTCACAGTATTTGGTTTGATGAACTAATTAGTAAAAACCGTATTCAATCAATTGATAAATTAACTTTTTCTTTTATATTACAGGAAAACAACCAAAGTTTTAAGTAGCATTTTAAGAACAGATGAATTTGAAGAGAAAGAATTATTCATTTTATAGTTTGGACATCTGCAAATAAGGTGGATCTAGCAACAATAACTGTAATGGACTGTGACAATTATTCTTAATTTTGATGGTTGACTATTTGACTTCTCTAAAAATGAGAAAGAGCTATTTTAAACTATAAAGAATTTTCTAATCAGTTTCAGCCTTGCAGGAGGTTTCCTGCATAAATTGGGAAGTTACACTGGAAAGTAGGAATTTGGTTAGTGAAGTGGGAAGACTGTATATTTATAATTTGCGTACTACTTGCAATTTTTTGTTTTTCATCACTTGTAATAATGGAATGGAAATGTAAGCTGTAAAGACTCTCAAATATAAAATATTTGCTACAGTGTATATATGGTACATAATTTCTTGTTGCTTTTAAAGTTGCTTTTGTTGTTCTGCTTCCCACTGATTTCATACCAGCTCATGAATGGATCATTACAGTCTCTCCAGAGGCTTAGAATGATTCAGAATGTTCAATGCATAGTTCTCAATGACAGGAGGGAGAATTTTTAATGGGTGTTTCTTTTCAGATATATGATTGGTCTCTAGGTTTTTGATAATAATATGGTCTTAAATTCATAATTAATAGCAGAGATTGATAATTTGGAAACAATGGTAGTGAATGAAACTGAAGTTGAAAAACAGCTGCTACTTATGTCACTAATCAGACCATATGAATAGCAGAAGTTGAGCAATTTCAAAGTAAAACTGATATTTTTTTTCCAAAAGAATTTGGACATTTGAAAATAATTGACGTACATTAAGTTTTAATTCTATAATTTCTTATAACATATATGGATGAAGAATTTTTGAGTTTAAGCTTTTAATTCCTAGAAATTTTATACATTAAATCTCCTGCAATTTGTCACTCTGGATGTTACTGTTGTTAAAAAAAAAAAAAAAAAAGGATTTCTTCCAGAAAAATCTGCTGATATATAGGTAAGTGTAAACTCTCCCTAATTCTATTTCTCATGTCCCTAGGTCTATTGGCAAAAAGTTTGTTTCACTGAATTTTGAACTTCTAAAACCAGTACTTTTTTTTTCGCAGTGATTTTTGAGCTTGTTTTCCAGATTCAAGCTAGTATTCCATGTTACATTTCCTATCTTGGTCTTTTGGTGACTTCTTTTTTTTTGTTTTTGTTTTTGTTTTTACTACTTTGTTCTTTAGGAAAATGGGTTTTCAAATAGAAAAAAAAAATCTTTGTTAACTATAAACTTATTGTTTACTTTAAAATGAGATATTTATACTTAGGTCTCAGTTTTTTCTTTATTCTTTTTCTTTTTTTTTTTTTGGCCCTACTTTCCTTTTCCACTATAGGTTTCAGTATATACTTGTATGTGAATATACACGCACACAGTTCACATACATACAACTCTCACAAACATACACAAAATATATGTATAATTTGTATAAGAGCTGGGGTCAGAATGACCATATAATTAATTGGTTTGCTTTATTATTTGCCCATTCTCAAGTCATTTTAATTCTTGTTTCAGAATATGATAGAGCTTATTCCAGTTTGGAATCTGCAGACCCTTTCCATTCAGTACTGTTACTGAAAACAGAACCCTTTTAACAAGTAACACTACCATGCTACTTTGGAAACTGCCTAGTACCCAAAAGATTTGATATGCTTTTTGAATTGGATACTTAAATGGACCAACCAAAGCAATGTTTTGATTGGCTATAATTTGTATTTTTGAAACCACTTACAACAAACATTCTCAAGAAGAGTTTGTATGTCAAAAGTCCTTTAGGTTTTAAAGTCTTTTGATCTTTTCTTACTATATACAATCAGTCTGCAGAGACTGTTTTGTTATGTGTCTATTTGCCTTTGTACATATGTATAGCTTGTTTGAATAATCATTGTATATCTCCATTAATGTTGTTCTTTGCTTTGTATATAAATTAAAAGAGTTGACCCAGGTGTTGTTACACAGTGTCTGTCATCCTTAGAGTTGACCAGAGGCACACAAACACACACAAACACACACACACACACGTGTATATGTGTAATATATCAAAATTTACTACTTATTTCTAATAGAACTATGAAAAGATTTTAAAATTTTATTTATATTGGATGAGAACTGAGAGTATACAAAGGTATTGGTAAAAGTTGCTGTTTCATGAATTAGTTTGAGAAAATATTTTAGGTCAAATTTATATTTAAGAAATAAAATTTTATTAGTTCAATCTTCCTTTTTTCCTGAGTTTTTCAAAGGGGGAAAAACTGGAAAATTTTACCTTATATTTTTCCCCAAAGACTTATAGTTTCAAAGGAATTTATACTAGAAAAAAACATGGCTATACATTTTTATATGTATTGTATTTTCATCAGCAGGGTTTATAACCAGGACACATTTTTATTATTAAAAAAATTTCTGAGCTTGTTGAGCAGAGTATAGGTAGTATACTATCTATAGATAGTTCTATAGGTAGATAGTTTTAGTCATTCTAGTGTTGAAATTGGAAAACAGATGTCTTCTGTCTAGTACCTTCCCTACTATTTTATGACTTCCGTAAGGTTTTGTGCTTGTTTTATATTTCTTATTTATTCATTTGGGTTAAAAGTTTATTTTTCAAGTATTTTGAAATCATTGTTTACATGCAAATATGTATTTTTCATAAGAAAAGTTAGCTGTCTGTCACATAGCAAAACTATATGCCATAAAACTTGAACCACATTTTCCCAAAGCAATAGTCTCTTCTTTCTTGATATATTTAACTTACATAACAAGGAATTATGATGCTAATAAATGACACAATGTTGCTGTATTACTAAATGGTACTCTAACTTATCACAGAATTGTTCACTTTTGAAAAACCAGTCTATAACCTGATACATAGATAGAGAGTCTATAGGTTACAGCCAAGGTTGTTTGATGCCTATATACTAACTTTTTAACTAATGCAAAGATAATAGTCATAGGGCTGTGAGTTGGGTTGGGTATGGAGTAGACATTGTTGGAAGAATAAACTTCACTCACAGAAAATCTGTTAAAAATCACAAAACGCTGATTTAACCCTTTACAGTATACGACAGTTTACAAAATCTGCCCTATGAAGTAATACTCTAAAAGTTTCCACTTTATTTTTTCTTTATCATAACAAATTCATTTTCACAATATTATTCCTTTATGTGTATGCTTTTTTCCACATATTAGGATTTTGTCACTAAAAGGTTTTAGGTTAGTTACAGTGTAGCAAAGCATTTAGCATTAAATATTGAGAATATTAGTGAACTGTGAAAATTGAGCTAAAATTCACATGAATCATAAAATTATAGAATAAGTTTTAAAAGAGTGCACTTAGTAAATATACCAAACAAAAATATACAGTAGATTAACAACCACAGATAATTTTCTAATTGACATTTTAGATAAGAACACCTGTTTTGCACTTGGAACCATAAGGAAAATGTCTAGGAACATCTAGTTGTTGTTCAGGATCCACCATGAAGCTGAAAAGAGAAAAACATTTTCTAAAATAATGAAAATAACTTACAGGGCAAAGAACGTTCAAGGTGCAAATTATATCTAAAGAGACCATTCCCCTTACCTTTAGTCTGCATAATAACTTATCTTTCTAGTCACCATTTCCTGACTGTTTGAGGCAAGATTGAACTCTTCTTATGCACTTATTTGTACCATATCTTTTGGCACTTTGTTGCAGTCTAAAATTTTTTGTTCTAGGTGAATAGAACTTGTTTTGGCAGCAAAATTATAAATGCCATGAAGCTAAAATCATGCTATTGTTCTTATTAGAATCTGCCCAACACTGGCAGTAGTTAGGCTATATATATATATATATAGTATTTATATACCCAGTATGAAATCCTATATGTAGAAATACCATGTATTTATACATATAGTATACATATATGCACATGTATTTATATATTGTATGTATATACATAAATATATACATACATATGTATACATATGTATATACATATACTATAATATATACATATAATATGTGATATGTACATCTATAACAATATACATATATGTACACATATGTACATATATAATATACATATATATGTGTATTTATAAATATGTATCATGTATAATATACATATAAATACATGTGTAATTATACATATATTTATACATATGTGATATTTATAAATACCATATATTTATACATATAGGATCTCATAAATATTGGGTATAAGCAAGTAGATAGGTTATAAATAATATTTTAGTATATCTGTATGTTAAAATTATAAATGTTTATCCCAGTGAATATAGATATCCCAAAAACAAACCAATGGCAAAGATGTATGATTGGTGGAACACTGTGAGAAACAGATAAATGGAAGGGATTGAAATTTGCTTTCAAAGCTTTTCAAGTAATTTGCTGGAAATAGGATCTTTTTTTTGTATCCTGTTTTCTCATAGCCATAGGCTTTTCTCTTATCGCCAAGGGACATTCTGCTCCACAGACCAAGTTGATATACTCTTTTTGTCTGGGTGGTTTATGATGGCTAATGGATCTGGGCTGCCATATTCCAGTATGCTTCATTTGAAGGATTTTATATTTGAGAGGTCATTGGAATGTATTATAGTGTATATTTTCATATCTGGATGCAGTCTGTCTTAGTTGCTTAATTTCTTTACATGTATCTTAGGTAAACCACTTAGTAGTCTTAACCATAAAAAGTAATCTTACCAGAAATCATAATTTGTAAGTTAAATTAGAAATACAAACCTACTCATACTGCGTTTTTAAATGTAATATCTGCCTTTCTTCTTTCAGATTTTAATTTTAGGTATAAATATGTGCAGCTAATACATCTTTAATTAATTATTTGAGACAGAGTCTTGCTCTGTCACCCAGGCCGGAGTGCACTGGCACGAACTCAGTTCACTGCAAATTTTGCCTCCCAGGTTCAAGTGATTCTCCTGATTAAGCCTCCCAAGTAGCTGGGATTACAGGTATGCATCACCATGCCTGGCTAATTTTTTGTATTTTTTAGTAGAGACAGGATTTCATCATATTGGCCACTAGTCTCGATCTCCTGTCCTCTGGTGATCTGTCCACCTTCGCCTCCCAAAGTGCTGGGATTACAGGCATGAGCCACAGCACCCAGCTAATTATTATTATTTTTTAATCTTCATAACCATTATAACACAAAATGCACAAAACTGGTTTTTAAAAATAGTATTATAAGTTATATGGCCATTAAAACCCACAAATAATATTTATATGCTAACTTCAACTTACTGGAATAGGCCTGCTGTCACAGTGATAAAACTTTAAAATAGGGTAGGATGTCCCAATAAATGTTAAAATGTTGTAGGTTTTAAAACTGTGTCAGAAATCATGCCTACCTTTTCCTCTTGTTCTACGAAATTCCAGTAATCATTGTTGAAATTAAATGTAATATGAGATTAATACAAAATAGGGCAGCAATTAAAAGGCATTAAATTCTGTTGAACCTGGCTGGATTCACAGAACAAGAATTGATCCAGTTTTATCTGTAGTCAGTTTTTCTTTCTAAATTAGGACATGCTCTGAGAGAGAAAGAGTAATATAATGCATGTGCCAATGACACTAGTAGTGTATAGAAAATAATTCAAGATAATAATAGCATTGGGTCAGAAAACTATCAGATTATTCCACATTTTCAATTCTTGCTATAGCATTTTTCCCCTTACTGATAACTCAGTAGCCTCCTATTCTGTCCTCTTTTCCTACTCTATTTTTGTTCAGGTGTTTCTGTCCTGGAAAGACTCAAGGCACCAATAAGAACAAGCTTTGTTCCTTTCTTTCCACATTGATTTGGGAGAAATGGAAATGGGTGTGATGGCGACACAAAAATTACGTGTCAGGACTTCATGGAAATTTTGACTGAAGACCAATATATTTATGATGATGCCAAAGTCCTATTCATTCTTTCATCTAGGAAATAATTTCTTTTTGCCACATACTGTCCTATAGTAATACTGTTATAGGGTAGGGAATGTGAAGATAAATAAAATGTGGATCTCACTTTCCTGCATTCTATGTACAAAGCCTGCAGCAGTCATATTTACAGAAGTTGTATTCTAAGATTTTCCCCCTATTTTATTTTATTTTATTTTATTTTATTTTATTTTATTTTACTATTATTGTTTTTTGAGATGGAGTCTCGCTCTGTCACCCAGTCTGGAGTGCAGTGCCTTGGCTCACTGCAACCCTCAGCCTCCTGGCTTCAAGCAATTCTCCTGCCTCAGCCTCCTGAGTAGCTAGGATTACAGGCATGCCCCACCATGCCCAGCTACTTTTTGTATTTTTAGTAGAGGTGGGGTTTCACCATGTTGGTCAGGCTAGTTTCGAGCTCCTGGCCTTGTAATCCGTCCACCTCAGCCTCACAAAGTGCTGGGATTACAGGCGTGAGCCTACCAGGTTCAAGTGATTCTCTTGCATCAGCCTCCCAAGTAGCTGGGATTACAGGTATGCACCACCATGCCTGGCTAATTTATGGGTAGGGATTTGGCTTTTAGTTTGTACCCTCTGTAGCTCCCAACACAATGCTTGTTCAGAAATGGAGCTTAATCAGTACCAGTAAATAGGCTAAACACCCTGGTGCCTAGCACATATTAATACTCAGTAAATATATGTTTAATCAGTAACTGGATGGGTAGATGAACAAATTGTGTCCAATACACTAAATTACAATATGGTAAAATATTTGAATAATTTTTTGAAATATCATGATTTGGTAGTACTTCAAGTTTGTTAATATGATTAGCAAATGACTAATAGTAGGTTCAACATAGCTGGGAATACAAATAGGGTTCACTAAGGACAAAATAGAACAAATATATAGATCTTTTATTTCTTCCCCCCCACCTCTCAAACCATAAGATATATAAAGAAATAAATAAGAGAATACCATTGATAAAATATAGAAGGGAAGAGCATACTGTCTTTTAAGAAACAAACAAAAAATACTAAAGGATACAGAAGCATTGTAAACCCAGGATAATTACCAGGAACTAGCATTGTAGATGTGAGTTCTGGAGTTTCCAAGAAATCCACATTACTTCTTTGGAATGTCTTGCTATAATTTGTCTGAAGGTGGCTGTGTAAATAATTACAGGTTAAGGCTGTGCATTTTTATTTACAATCTTCCCAAGTACAGCAGAGATCAGATTTGATCAAGATGGCAAAGTTCAGGATGATGTGGATTAAGTAAGCTCCTGGATACAAGCTTCTTTTAATGGTTATTCAGCTTTCAAAAATGACTCAGGAGTAATTTAATAATTGTTAGCAGAAACTTTTAAAAAAAGGTTTTAAACCAGGAGAACATTACTTTTTTAGAGGATAAAATAGGAAGTAGACTTTACTGCAGCAAATTTAAATAGAAAAGAATATTATAGCTGTTGGAGAGTTTAAAAAACAGAATAGATAATAAGACAGACTGTATATTTTACATTTCTAGATAATAAAAATAAATCTGAAAGACTATCTGAAAGTGTTGGCCTGGAAGCACAGAGTTGAATAAGTTACCTTGTTTCCTTCTATGGCTGAAATACTGTTGCTATCATTTTGCCTTCCTTATAGCACAAAGTGCCTTCAAAATTGCCACAAAAATAAAACTTTTAGGTGAAATACGGATCAACTGAATTTCCAGGTATTCTATTACTTCCATTGCCATATTTAACACCCTAAACATGGACTTATTTAGAGAGCTATATTCTCTGTACCATTTTAAATGGTCAGGAATTGTTATATACTCTCAGAAGAGCAAACATTTATTTCATTCCATTTTAAAATTATATGTTTGTTTTCTATTAGTAATTATTTTAGTTTTAAAGAAGTTGATTTGTTTTGAATTTTTGACAATCAACGTCTTGAATTTCCAGTTTATTTTTAGTCTTTAAAGACATTTAGAAGGTGTTGGGCTGTAATGACTCTAAAAATGGTATGTAGTTTTGTTGTAAAATAAAATAGCTGCACAGACTATGCTATGAAAAATTAGGTAAAGCTCTTTTTTCCACCTCATTTTTGTCCATCCTTTGTCTCCACCCCCACCACTACCCTCACCAGCTTTAGACACACATGCCCCCATTTATATCTTCTTATCTGAAAACATCAGTAAAATGGTAAGACTCAAAGTGGGATCATTATCAAAAGTATTTGTACTTCAAGACAAGTGGTTTCTAAGCCATTAAATACATTTTTTAAAGTGCGTAGAATTCAGGGTTATGGGCAAATGGGACAGGTTTTAAGGTAAGGTAAAAGAGAACGGAGCTTTCCTACAAATCCTAAAATTACATCATGCATACATATTGCCACCTTCCTGGCTTCACATAAAATCAGGCTTGCTCACAACTTACCTATTCCATACACTACTATTTTCCCAGAACTCATAGATTATGTAGCGAGATTCATTTGAAAGCTTCTGTATAGAAATACTGAAATGGAAAATAAAAGGCATAATTAGCTACTGGGAATTAAAGATACAAGCTAACTTTTCTAATATCTATATGTAGTATGAAACAATCTTATCCATTAATAGAGGAAACAATCTAAGGTGCCTGCATGAAAATCAAACAGATTTGTCAAGAATTTATTTGTTCAATATGTCTGTTTGGCATAAGTGTTTTTTTGTTTTTTGTTTTGTTTTGATTTTTTAGTTTTCTGGTTTTCATCATGAAAACAGTCTCAATATATTGCAGACATCACGAATGTAACTTTTGCAAAATTGTATTCATTCATTCAGAAAGGTTTATTGAGCATCTGTTGTGCTAGGCCCAGAAAAAAAGTGCATGCTACCTGCCTTTGCCCTCAAATGTAGCTGTTAGGATTGGCCCTATCAACCACTGTACCTCTGCCAAATTCTTAGCCTTACAACATTCCTGTATTGACAGTTTTTGTGTGGGTCCTGCTCTATGCCATTTGAGTCACTTGGACCACACTACTGCTATACAACTGACTCCTAGTTCGCCAATACCTAATGGCTCTCTTCCTCTTTCTCTTTTTTCCTTTCTCCCTGTCTCTCAAACTGTCTCTCCCTCTGACGCGCGCGCGCACACACACGCACACACACTGCTCAACACTGTCTCTGGATGAAGTTTAAGAGTCCACATTCTGGCCATAATTGCAAGGGTTTTTTGTTTTCCTTTTAAATTTCTTTTCCAATTTGTTTTCCTTTTAAATTTCTTTTCCAATTTGGGTGAGACAAATTTATTCCTTCCAGTCCTTTGACTAGCCCAAAGGAGGAAAAAGTCTACATAATATGTTTTGAAGGAGTGAAGAAAGTAGGCTGGCTGAAAACATAGGTTGAGGTGACTGCAAATTTAATTCTGTAGCAATGAGGAGCCACCGAAGGATATAAAGCAGGGAGAGTGACGTGGCTATAGCTATGTATTAAAAGATCCTTACGATGGCCCAGTGGGTATTGTATGAAGGGTATTGTAAAGTAGAAAAAACAGCTGGAAAGATAGTGAAATAGCATAGGTGAGAAATGATGAAGACCCAAATTAATTTTGAAACAAAAGAATAGAGATTCATAAACTTAAGAGTGGGAGACAAAAATAAAGATAACTTTAAAAACTGAATTACAAAAGTACAGACTGTTCAGCCTGATGGTTCATAATATATTCATATTAGAAAGCAAAATGAGGGGTTATAAAAACAATAAGGCTTTTGGGTTAACAAAGAATTTACCAGTAAACTTACCAGTAACGGAACAAATAACAGCAGTAAAATAGTTGATTAATGTAGATTTAGGATTTACCGAAGTGTGACCAGCAGGTGGCAGTAACTACACACAGAAATTTTAATTTTTTTTTCTTTAGTTCTGCTTGTGTTTTTTTCAGTTGTTTATTTAGTTTGGTTCATTAAGGTATGATGCAGCAAATATTGTTTTTAGCTCAACTTCAGATTTTCTGGAGAAAGGTTTACTCTGGAATCATAAGAATTGAATGGAAGGTGGAATTTGTGATTTTCTAATCCCAGGAGTTCATGAATGTGCTCTTTGGGGGTTCACTAAAATCCCAGAAATGATCTGCAAATTAATATGCATATATATGTTTTTCTAGGAAGAGAATCTATAGCTTTCATCATAGTCTCAAAGGTATGTAATCCCCAAACATAACCTTCAGCAGTACACTGGACAAATTGCAATCCATCTCTATTTTCTTTAGGATAAAGTTTAAAATACTCAGCCTGGTATTTCAAGCTCTTCATCAACTGCTTCCTGAAAACTGATTCATTTGTATACTTATTACATTAAAAGCCCACTTATCCTGCTATTTGAACATTTCACTTTCCAGACTAGCCATAAGACTGTAAGATAAGAAATTCATAAAATTTTAGCATAATGCTAAAGTTTTTGAAGGAGTAAAAAGGAGTATGAAATGGCAGTGATTTAAAGTATAGCCCAACAGACCTTCCACCATCCACCATTTATTAGCTGTGCCACCTTGATCCCAATACTCAACATTGGTTTCCTTATCTGTACAATAGTGATAACAATACTATGAGAATTAAAGTGTTACATGTAAGGCCGGGCACAGTAACTCACACCTGTAATCCCAGCACTTTGGGAGGCCAGGGTGGGTGGATCACTTGAGGTCAGGAGTTCAAGATCAGCCTGGCCAACATGGTGAAACCCTGTCTCTACTAAAACTACAAAAATTAGCTGGGCACAGTGGCACATGCCTGCAATCTTAGCTACTCGGGAGGCTGAGGCAGGAGAATTGCTTGAACCTGGGAGGTGAAGGTTGCAGTGAGCCAAGATCAAGCCACTGTCTCCAGCCTGGGCGACAGAGCGAGACTCTGTCTGAAAACAAAGAAAAAAAAGTTACATGTAGAATTCTTAACTCAGTACTTGGCTTAGTGTGTGTGTGTGTGTGTGTATGTGTGTGTGTGTGTGTGTGTGTGTGTGTGTGTTGTTAGCCCAATAGCTAAAAGGAAACTATCGCTTTCGTTCGGTGAGTAGCTAGGAAAGCTAAGCCTTAATGGTATCAAAGCTAAGAAGCATGACAGAAACAAAAGGAATGGGGTGGGAGGAAAACCAGAAAAGAAATGAAGGGAAAATGTACATATCAAAGCAATGAGAAGCAGCAAGCTAATAATATAAGTATTAATGATGGTGGTGGTGATGATTTCTACATGTATTGCTCTGTTCTAGGCTCCAATTTAAGCATTTTCCATGGATAAGCCATTTAACCTTCACAGTTACTTCGGGAGTCATGTGGCTTACACTGTCCATTGCCTCCCCAAATATTACTCTCCTCTTACTAACATACTCTGCCACTGTTCAGTTTGCAATACACACAATGTACTAATCAGTGTTGGACTGAGACTATCCTGATAACCTTACTCCTCTCTGCTGGACACTTGGTTTCCTAACCTTTCCAGTGGCCAACAATGACCATGCGACTTGAATTCTGGCCAGTGAGATGCAAGGGGAAGTATGCTAGGAAGCAGAGACTCTGGGAAAACATTTGCGTCTTCAGGATCAGACATGAGAGGAGAGCTTGTTGGTATTTCTCCCTTTTTCTTCCTCACTGTAGGCCATCTGGTGAAGAGCCAGAAGGCACATCTGGAAGACAGATCTGGGATCTTTGATGACAACATTAAGCTGTATAAGAACCTTGAGATTTTTACCTCCAGTATTCCTTTTCAGAATAATAAATGTACTTATAATATAAGTGACTGTTACTGTGCTTACTCTAGATTGCAGTTGCAAGCATTCTTATTTGATACCGGAAGGTGGTGTTGTCTTCTTTGTGTATTTAATTCTCCATTGTTTACAGATAAGGAAACTGAGGAATGGAGAGATGAAATGTCTTGTCCATAGTTGTCACAGCTGCTAGTGAGTAAACCAGACTTTGAACTTAGGCATTTTTGCCTCCAAAACCTGCACTCTGACAAAGAGTTAGGAAACCTAATAAAGGTGACAAGAAGCAGATGCAGTGATGAAAGTGCAGATTCTGTCTCAAAGGCACATGGGTGAAAGTGCTAACCAGAATTGCTTTACAGAATGGGTACTTTCAGTTAAGGGCCAAAAAGACCAATATGGGGCAATGATATTTAAGGACATTGATATTTGAGACTATACCATATAGATAATGACACACAATGATCACAGTGAGACAGCAAGAAAAGTCCAATTGCGAAATAATTTTTAGAAAGATTTGTCAGCAATTGTTAAAGGCTTAGGGCTTGAATGATTAGCTTTCAATTATTTGTAAATGTAAAACTGCACAACAACACACGTGTGATTTGTTGCTTGTATGATTCTACTCGCCCAAAACAGCCTGTGTTGTTCTCCTTAAAATCTTCATACTTCCTGTGACACTTAACACTCATTGGCTAAAGCAAGAGTTCTTTGGCTAAGCTGTCTTTGGATGCAGGCCCTAAAAGCTTCAACCTTGAGCTTTAGGAGATCTTGAATATTCCTGGATGCTGGAAAATGTGTCAGTGAAATGGCTTCTAGGGGAAATGGATGTGGCTCAGGAACAGGTGAGATTAAAGATTTTAAATGAGGAAACTCCCCATAATGGTCCGGACTCTCCCTCTTGGCTTCTTCCCTCCCCATGTGCATGTCCTACCTTAAATCACAAGCAAGGCCTAACCAATGAAGAAAAGACATGGCAAGAGGGCCAGTCCTCACATTTCTCCATACCAAGTTGTGGGTCACCAATTTATTTCATCTATATAATTACTGATTAATGAGGCTGGGCATGGTGGCTCACTTCTGTTATCCCAATACTTTGGGAGTCCGAGGTGGGCAGATCGCTTGAGTTCAGGAGTTCAAGACCAGCCAGGGCAACATAATGAAACCTTGTCTCTATAAGCCATACAAAAATGGCCCGGCATAGTGGCTCACGCCTGTAATTCCAGCACTTTGGGAGACTGAGGCGGGCGGATCATGAAGTCAGGTGTTTGCGACCAGCTTGGGCAACAGGGTGAAACCCCGTCTCTACTAAAACACAAAAAAATGGCTGGGTGTGGCAGCACGTGCCTGTAGTCCCAGCTACTTGGGAGGCTGAGGCAGGAGAACTGCTTGAACCTGGGAGGTGGAGGTTGCAGTGAACCAAGATTATGCCACTTCACTCCAGTCTGGGCAACAGAGCAAGTCTCCATCTCAAAAAAGAAAAAATTAGCCAGGCATAGTGGCATGCACTTGTACTCCCAGCTACTTGGGAGGCTCTGGTGAGAGGATCACTTGAGCCTGGGAGGTTGAAGCTGCAGTGAGCCTAGATGGCACTACTGCACTTCAGCCTGGGCAACAGTGTGAGACACTGTCTCAAAAATAAATAAATACTGATAAATGATTAATGATTCAATGTGCCACCATTATTTCTTAAGGATGCCTCAGGGTTGATTCTTACAATGTAATCCTACATTCATATTCCTTAGTCCCTTGACATGGAGTTTTGAATATATTCAAATTCTCGAATTTCGTAGCTGAGTGACTTTAGAAATCATTTTGTTCTATTTAATGACTATGAAATTTTAGACCATGAACATGATTTTAATTGTGCTCTACCCTCATGAATGAGCATCCTATTTTCCCAACTGAAGTCTAAGATCCTTGAAAACAAACTATTCTCTTGTTCTCTGGTGTCAAGAATGGTTCTGAGAACATACCATGTATACCACTTATATTCAATTGGTACCTCCTTATGACAAAAACAGGGATTAATGAGCCTTCATGATTACAAAATAAGAATAGCGTGTGTATGTGTTGTATCAAACAATGTGTGTGTATATGTTATAAACATGAGTCCACATATCTGCTTGAGTTTTTCACCAACTTAACTTTTTAAAAACTCTTTTGACTACTAAAACAAAACCTCTGTCACTCCCCATATTTCGGAGTCTCCTAATCAAAAACTTATATAGGGCAAAACCTCTAATTCAGTGGCCTGAATTTAAGAAAGCAAGACCTTGTTGTAATTGGAACAGGAGAGGACTTGTCTATTCTACCCCTGGTTAACCACAGAAAATCCAGGAAACTCTAAGGATGACCAAATATTGACAAGAAGGATTAAACACTGGTTTTAGCGTCAGACAAATTTTAATAAGTTTTTTTTTTTAACCCATCTGAGACTATTCCTTCTAAGCTGGATGTAATATGTCCCTCTTGATTATTGCTGTGAAGATAAGAGGACAGGCACAGTGGCTCAAGCCTATAATCCCAGCACTTTTGGAGGCCAAGGCAAGAGGATCGCTTGAGCCTGGGGGTTCAAAAGCAGCCAGGGCAACATGGCAAAATCCCATCTGTACAAAAGTTTTAAAAAGTAGGCAGACATGGTGGTGCGTGCCTGTGGCCCCAGCTACTCTGGTGGCTGAGGTGGAAGGGTCGCTTGAGCCCAAGAAGTTGAGGCTGCAGTGAGCCATGATTGTGCCACTGTACTCCAGCCTGGGCAACAAAGCGAGATCCTGTCTCAAAATTAAATAAATAAATAAGAAAATAGGTGCCAAATGTCTAATCTTTTTAGTCCTTAATAATATCTATTTTATTTTATGGCAGTATTTTGTGCCTAATCATGGTGAGACTGAGCTAAACATCATGGGAGAACAGAACCTCTGACATTCACAGAGCTTTATTTTCTCAGCCAAGCACTAGGCAATTGTGCTGGGCACACTGGAGCATGACTGATGGCATCAGTGGCATTTGATTATCAATTGATACAGGTAGAAAATTGAATTTGATTAACTGGTACAACTGAAAAATTGCATGTAGACAGGCACACTGGCATAACATCTATGCCATATATATTCCATATGGGTGTGATTCCCTGATGCTCATTCCACCTGATACAGTCTACATTTCGATAATTCCAGTAAAAGAAAGAAATTAGCTGAAAAATCAACAATAAGAAGTGAACAAAGAACTGTATGAAACAAACCAGTCTTGCAAAGGAAACAGAGAGGCTGAGAATCTATCTTACAGGAAAAAGATGCTCTCCCTCCCTCCACTTCACAGCAGGAGCTGATGGAGCAATTTATTGTGGTTATTGAGAGAATAGAATTTGCAGCAGACAGCACAAATGTATCCACTCTCTCACTCCCCCACAGCTAGTTTCCCTTTCCCTGGGACTGTTCTAGTAGCTTGAGGTCATTTTCCCAACACCCATTAAAGTAGTGTTTCTGAACCTAAAAAATAAACTTGTGTGCCTTTTTTATAAATATAAAACATGCCATCAATCCCTGGAGATGGTAATACACTGAAATAGACTTTATCTTCTCTATATCCTCATTAAAAAGAGTTTATTGAGCTCTATTTTGGGAAGTTTACACTGTGAACAGTGTATATACAGGTTCTCTTTGTATTTTCTTTTCTTTTCTTTTTTTTTTTTTTTTTTTTTTTTTGAAACGGAGTCTCGCTCTGTTGTCCAGGCTGGGGTGCAGTAGCACCATCTCAGCTCACTGTAACCTCCGCCTCCCGGGTTCAAGCATTTCTCCAGCCTCAGCCTCCTGAGGCACATGCCACCATGTCCAGCTAATTTTTCTATTTTTAGTAGAGACGGGGTTTCACCACGGTCAGTCTGGTCTTGAACTCCTGACTTCATGATCTGCCCGCCTCGACCTCCCAAAGTGCTGGGATTATAGGCGTGAGCCACTGCGCCCGGCCCTCTTTGCATTTTTAAATATTCAATTTTATTTTCAAATGAGTGGGCTCTAAAAACGACACATATTCCCACCTCTGCAAGTCTTGAGTCACTGAAGTAAAAAGGATGAAAATGGGGTTTTTATTTGTGCTCTCTGAGTCTAATGTGACATAGAATAATAAAAATAATCATGGAAGCACAGCATTTCCTGTGTTCTTGTTACAAAGACACTACTGGAAGATGATGAGCTGTTAGTGGCACTGAGGAGGTACTGCACTCATACTCTAGAGAGGAGGTCAGTCACCCAGACAACCAGGAAACAATAGTAAACGCAATAGTGACTTCAGCTCACATCTTCAGTGGATGGGAAGCATTGTGCTGAGCACTGCATACGGACTGTCTCAATCTTCCCAACCATCTCATGAGGCTCTTGAGGAGGAAACTCCAGGCTTAGAGCCAGTGAGGGTCTTTCTCAAAACCACAAAGCTAGTAAAATCCCATGTTTATTTCCAGAGCCAGACTTCTTAGCTAGAGAAATATTCTGCTGGGGTATGGATAAAATTAATTAAACACTGAGAGGAAAAGCAAAACACCCAGAGACATGAAGTATCTGTTTATGCACACACGTACACACACATACACACATAAAAACCTTCCCAAAGCAATATTTGAAGAGCATTATGAAATATAGTTTAAGCAAACTCATAAGGTAGGGTTAGACTTGGTTGTAGAAGTTTTCTAAAAGCAGATGAATTTGGACCGGGAGTCTGAACTTGAGGCAGTGCATGGTCTGGCAGAGACTTGCAGCTGGGTGCACATTTCTGAGAGGAAGAGTAGCCAGGTCTGAGGCACAGTGGGGAACAAACAGATTATATCAGAAATTCTAGCTGTGCATCACCAAGGCAGAGTGTTTAGATGAGGGAGAACAAATAATAGTAGTGATATGGATCCTGGGTCTGTCAGTAGGATTAAATATCGAGTCAGGACAAACGTCTAGCCTTTGATAAGATACTCATTAGAGAGTTACTGTAGGTTCCAGTTAAGGGAATTCTATGATAACTGTTTCCAGAAAATTATTATAGTAACTGTTTATTGAACCAGTTGGAGTGAAAAAACTGAAGATGAGGAATAATATATTTTAGTAGCTTGAGATATCCAAAGCCTGAGCTGGGTGGTACCCATGGAAAGAGGAAAGAAAAGATCTGCTGCTGCTTCATTTTCTTTTAATGACCAAGGACTGAAATCATGACTTCAGGGACGCCTGCAATTTCCTAATGGCTGAAATGGTCATTAGGCCACAGGGCATGCTGCCAAGGGAGCAATCACAGCTAGATGTCCTAGAGTTGGCGCCTCATCTACCAGAGATGATTTTAAATCAGAGTGTGGGCTGCCTGGATGCAAAAGGGAATTTCAACTTATTTGAAATTCAGTCTCTTCATTCAAGTTGTTCTCTTCATTTCATTTTACTTGGTGCCCCTAATGATCAAACGACACGGGGTTTAAAGATTAATGATAAAACATCCAGTTAAAGGCAGCAAATGACATCACCCAGGTGGAATGCTCTGTATAACTTAATGTGAGGATTCTCAAATATCTGTCTTCTAGACCCCCAGCCTTGTCTAAAGTGAGAAATGCCTTCACTGCATTCCTGGGCTGCCAAAGGCCTAAGGTGCAGGAGTAGGAGCACTTACCGCAAGCATCCACTTTGGGAGGAAGCACTCTCCACGTAGTGTTTCAGAGCAAGTTGGAATTCTTCCAGGTCCTCTTCTATCACAGACATCTGCCGCTGCACAAGCATGATGTGCTGCCGAGGAAGGGGTGAGGGTCACTGCGTTGGCTGTCACGGAGCCCGATTTCAGCTGACTCCTACTGCCCATCCCATTCCTCCTCACAAAAACAAATGATTCTCTTCCAAAAATATGACCAAGGAAGGCCATGGGTATTCCAAGTATAAAACTGCATAAAGGCCGTAATCTAGGCAAGATATTTTCCTTGCCTCTAGTCCCAGAAGCTGAACAAAGTGTTCTTTACAATGACGTGTTTCCCTTTAAAAGCAGTGATTCTCAATGACTCGAGAAGTTTTAAAATTGTATTTATATCAAAATCTCTGGGAGTGGGGCCCAGGCACTGCTATTTTTAAAACCTCCCTAAGTGTCTCTATGGTGCAGGCAGAACTGGGATCGCTTCCCTATAACCACTTACCAATTTTTAAAGAGAAGTCTTATTGTTCATTGCACAGCTTCAATATCTTGGATATTTTGTGATACTAGACATAAGTGACAATCATTACAAACAACCAGATTTCAAAAAAATGAGTAACTTATGCATTTTCAAAGGTACATCAAATATTACAGGGTTGTCAAACACATTAACTACTTACAACAGGCCCTGTTCAAAAGGTAATGGCATCAGATGTGCTTGTTTTTAATGGATCACACTGGATTGGATGGCAACTGTTTCCTGTAACAAATCCTATTAGCATTATAGCAATTGTAGTTTCAAGGCTTCCCTCAAGATCTGCCTGTGGTCTTCTTATGGAATTTTAGATACCAACATTAGTTCTTTTCAAGAATTGGTAGTGAAAGTATAAAAGTGCAAATCAAAGTAAGGATTGGCATGAATCATAAAAGTGCATAAACAAAAACAAAACACAATGTAAGGATGATCTAGAATATGAGAAAAATAACTTCCACAATAATACCAGCTATGTAGCATGAGAGCTAGAATTAAACCCCTGTTCTACTGTTTCCTATTCCAATGGGTTTCTCATTTCATGTCAATAGCTACTATTTGTTGAATACCAATGATATTGTAGAGACTGTTAGGTATTCAGTATATTCAACAAATATTCCTACTTCGTTGTACTAATCAAAGCACGTGGTTTTAATATTAATGACTAAGTAGAGTTAATTTCTACTAAAATAATGATGGATATATCATTTTCACAAAAATTTGCAGGGACCTCTTGGTTGGACATTTGTGATTACTGACTCAGATAATTAGGAAAGCTCATGGGCTTTCCTAATGAGATATATAAATACATCCACCTATTCCATCATAATTCTTTTCGTCTAAAGGCAATTTTTACGTGATCAAGTGGGATGGATTGTAAAAATAACCAGAATTCTTCATTATCCCCATGAACTCATGCCCTTTGACTAATCTGACTTTTTAGCTCCTCTCATCAAGACATGGATTCTATTTTCCCTCCCCTTGGATCTGGGTTGGCTTTCTAACTTGCTCTGGCCAACAAACGTGGCAGAACTGACAGTGAACCAGTTTCAAATTCAGGCCCTAAGAGGCCCGTGGATTTCCACTCTTTCTCTTGGATCTCTGAGATTACCATGTGAACAAGACCTGCTACAGCAGAGGCCAGCAAATATTTTCTGTAAATGGATGGGTAGTAAGTATTTTAGGCTTTCTGTGCCACATGGCGCCTTTTGCAGCTAGTCAACTCTGTTATTGTCATGTGAAAGCAGCCACAGTCCACACATAACCAATGAGTGTGGCTGTGTTACAATAAAACTTTATGACCAAAAACAAGAGGTATGCTGTAGTGTGCCAACCCCTATATTAGAGGAGTAAAGGCCACATAATAGAGCACAGCTGAGCTCCTAGACATATGAGGAAACTCAGCCAAGATCAGCGAAGCTAACATACAGCTTACTACAGATACAAGGAGCCCATGTGAGACCATAAGACACAGCCTAAATTGCCTACGTGCAAAATTGTGGTTATTGTGTTAAGCCACTGAGTTTTGGGGTGCATTATTATGTAGCAATAGCTAACTGATTCATTCACTTATGTACATTGATGTATGAGTTGGAAAAATTGAGCTCTTGGCTTCCTAGATTGGGTTGTAATGTCCAACTTTGCAACCCAAACCAGAGGCATCTTTTTCCCCTCCTTTCCTAAGATAGTTACACAAAGAAATCCATTTAAAGAGCCCCATATAATCTGCCTAACTTTGATAGTTTGATGACTATTCTGACAAGTGGAGCATTTTAAATAGTAGTTATTTAAAGTAGATTTTCTGAAATCCAAAGAAAACACTTACATTTTCTGTTCTGGCTAGGCTGAGACAAATTGTAGGATGTGGGGTTTGGGAGAGGTGGAACAGGAGTCCTATTATCTTGTTAATATATCTATGTGTCTCTTGTGTCAAATACACAACCTGAAAGCTTACTAAACTGTGGGATCCCAAGATATAGTTAGCTCAGAGCACTCCGTCATGGCTGAATATTCTTTCATGGTGCTACATTTTTGTTTCTCTATTATAGGAGTGGTAGTATATCATTTACCTTATAGGAATTTTGTTACAGTGAAAGTATGGCTGGATATTTGGAATGTCTTGGACTAAATAGTGCTGTGTAAGTATGAAAGGCCAGTCTCAGTTCATAGGATAGTATTTGCCAGTGACATTAGATTATGTTGCATCAGCCTTTGATTTCTTGGAACATTTCAAGAAATGTCATCTTTTTTAGTCTTGGGACACAGAGACATGTTTTAAGTACAACTTATTTTTTCAGGTTACTTGGTTCTATTTACTACATTTACAGTTGTGTTTCAAATATGTCTTCAGAGATACCATAGCCTTTCTTGTATGCTCTCACTGACTCTTAACAGCCATTGTAAAACAAGACTTATATTTTGATAGTCCCTGTTATATTACTCGACAATAGCCCCTGAACCCTTAGGAATGGCAGAATGGAATGACTTCACAAGACGTTATCCATCAGTTTTATATGAGTATAGAGAGGCAGAAAAAGATACTAGGTTTGTGGACTCACTGTATGATAAGCTATTTTAGTGTATTACAACAACAATGTGCTGAAGAAAAATCTGAGTTTTTGAAAAGCACAAGAATGTGCTCAAATGTTTAAAATTATCATGATTTTTAAAAACCTTTGAATTAAGAAAATATCTGGAAAATGATCATCTTACTCAGTACTCTTTTGGTAAGAAGTGCCATACAGGCACATCTTTATAATATGCTTGTTATCAATCATTTGGAACATTTAAATATTTTTATCTAGCACTTCAGTGTTCTTTCAGTGCAGTGTTAGAATCATTCAATATAGTAAGAGATATATCAGTATTATTTTTTTAAAAACTTCTATTTAGTTTTTATGATTTCATCTTAAGTATTATGTCATTTTGGAAGTATTCCTTGGTCTCCTAAATTGAGTTGTGTCCCCTTACTGTGCAAATCTGTACCTTCCTATAATAAACCTCATCATATTTTATTGTAGATTCTGTATGCTTTCCTTCTAGTTTGTTTTCTAGCCTATAATATTCACCACTTTATTTCCAGACCCTCTCTTCAGGCCTGGAACATAGTTGGTGATCAAGTTATTTGTGGAACAAACACATTAAAGATGCTTTTGCTTTTAGCCATTGACTAATCTTAGAATTCCCTTAATAAACTATTTATTCCAGGAAAGGTTTTGAGGCAACCCTGGAAACTCAACAGCACTGCACAATTGTTAGGTGCTCTTTCGTCTGTCTCCACCATCCTGTCCTCTTTTTCTTTTCTTCTTTCTCCTTCAAGAGCAGGCATACAAAGTAAAAAGAATTAGCTTCACTTTTCCTATGTGGCCTTTAACAAGTTACTTAATTCTTTCTCAGTTTGTCTTCTGATACGTAAAATTAGAATAGTGGTACTTATATCACAAAATTTTGGGAGGACTAAATAGAATAGTGTGTATAAGGATCCTTTCCATGACAGGTACTAAATAAGTGTTACATCTCTTACTCTAGGCTGAGAAAAAAAAATGGACTTAAAAAAAGAAATCACATCCTGGACTCCTCATTATGTAATGGCTCATTGCCCGGAAAACTAGAGATGGCAGTTGCTAGGGTTCAGGACTTTTGCTGTGTGCTTAAACAAGCCTGCCAGACAATCTGCTCTGCTCTCACAGTAGGGAATCTCATAAAACAATAATCCATTCGTCCACAACCTCACTAGCAAAGAGCAGTTCTACTTTACAGGCTAGAAACCCACTAAACACTAGGGCTGAAAATGTTAGAGCATGATGATGAGCATAGGTCTGGGGTTGAACTGCAGGGGTTCAGCTATGGTAGGTAAATTCCTTTAAACCTTAATTTCTTCATTGATAAAATGAGTCTGAGGATAGTACTACCTTATTTGGCTATTGTGAGGATTAACTGAGTTATGTGTGTGTTTAGTACAACACTTCGCACATAGCAAAGGATCAGTAAAGATCAGCATTGCAAAAACCAAGTGTAATACAAATTTATTCTTTGCTTTCTGTTGTAGAATTTATTTTTCCAAGTTCTCATGCATTCACTAATGGAAAAGGAAAAACACCTCACTACTCAACGAATTCTAAAACTGGTTTTGGGCATCAGGATAAATCATTTAACACATGGTAGGATAGAATTATGAGCACTAGAGCACTAGCTATGAAATAACAGTGAAAAATGCTTTTGGTCATTCTGAATATAGGAGGTTTTACAGGAATTTATAGTAACGCACTTAATACCATTAATAAAAAAATACAACTTTTAATGACAAATATCTTATTGTTACTTCTGAAAAAACAAACCAATTCAAATCTTTACTATATGTATATTCCCAAAGAGCATAATTGTTATACCTCTATATATGGCTGGAAATGGGGAATATCCTTTCCTGCTTTTAAACAATATTGAGAGCTGAACAACCTTCTTAAGTCTTATTTGTTTAAAGTACTTCTATGCACTACTGAATTAGTAATGTTGTGTGTGTTGATCTTTTAAAATTGGCCTTGGCTTTGGCTGCTCAGGGACCTGCAAATGGAATAGCTGCCTCCTTTCCCAAACAATCCTTAGACAAATTTTCTTCCTCATAGCTATAGAGAGAAAATAATCTCACATTAGAAAATTATTTAAGAATAGACAATTATCTCTCACAACATTAGAAAAGTTATATTTGTTTTTCCTTTGTCTGGAGTATAGTTTTTCCTCTAATGCACACCTGTGAGAAGATAACAGATGCATGATCACAAGGTTAACAATTCCTGAGCCTCCGGGACTGTGCAAACCCGCTATTCTTAGTATGTGTATATGCTCAAGACCCACTCCTCTCACTTTCCCATGAAAGCCTACCATTTTAAAATGTTGGGGTCTTGATGAATTAACACAGACTACATCCCTGTCTCTGGAGGGATAAAAGCACTAGACATGCAATGACAGATCTAACTTATCGGGGGAAAGTATTCATAACTATAGGATTCTAACAGCAGCCATGATTAAACTTTTCTGAGACTCCCACAAAGTTTACTCTGAAGAATCCCTTTGGATTATGAGTTTGGACAGATGGGTAGGAGACTTACACACAGATGGGTCTCACCTTCTTCTATTATGTAGTCAGTGCTTGTGCACAATTTCAGAGATGAAAGGTTATTTCCTATCTTGGTTTCATATAAATGCGAGAACAATCCTTTGACTTCTATAAAGTATATAATACATCTAAGGTATTAAAAAATGATTTTTCTCCTAGTTACCAAGATTTTAAAATCCAAATTTTCACTAAATGTAAATGTAAACATCCAACTTCCTGAAACAAAATGTACTATGCATGTTTGCCTCAACATAAAGTAAACAATAAAGCTTGGTAGGTACTGCTTTTAGTTATTTGCTAACTTCTTTTTGTTGCATCTTAATGTACTTTTTAGGATCGCTTTGTCCATTTTTATTCTGTTTCCAAAAAGCGCTGCCACTCTGGATGGACATCTTATCCCTAGGGATACAAATGTTCCCTTTTCTCTAAACATCAATTTATTCTTTGAAAAATTATTTCTGAGCATTTTCAGTGTGCCTGGCCCTAGGCTAAATGCTGGAAATATAATAATGAACAGAACCAGGTTTCAGCTCAGGTATATCCAGTGTACATCACAGCAGGATTTACAAAATGTGTTTATGATGCAACTTAAATGTTGCCCTTCTCTGCCAGTCATATTCCTTCAATTATTCAATAACTCATTGATTAATACACGTATACAATTTTCATTTTGCACCTATTACATGCCAGGTACTTTCACAAAAACTGTGAAGTAGGTATTAGGTTTATATAAATCATAATGTAGAAACAACACGACTTAACCATATAAAATGAAATATGACTAGTTTTTCAATTTTTCATGGAGATAACTAATTTTTGAAGAAATTAAATTATGTTTTTAAAGAACATATTGATAACATTTTTACCTGATAAAAATACTTACAGATTTAGTATTCCCTTCAATAATTTCTTCTTCCAGTGGTTCAAGTTTGAGATCCTTCAATAAGAGGAAGAAATGGCAGAAAAGAAAAAAATTACATCATTTAAAAAAATGCCATATATTCAAATCATAGTTCTCTCATGGCTAACATTGAACCAAAAGAACCTCATTATCTGAAAGATGAAATAATACAGATTTTTAAAAACTAAGCTGTTCCAATAAAGACTCTTTGTACTCATTTATCAATTGTAAGCTGTTTTAGACGTGTTCAAAGTATTGCTTTAAATTTACTTCCTGGATGCCATTAGAGAGCAAAGTGGAAGAGAGAGGTACGTAAAAACAGAGAGGAAAAGGATAGGAAGATAAACAAAAGAAAAAGAAACAGAATGACTAAGCCTAACAGTCTGCTTTATTTTGCTATGAATGAGTATTACCACATTTCTACATTTCTTGGGACATCATTATAAACATTAGTCTATTGTTACAACAAGTTTATACCCTACTGTTAATTTTTCTTTATTAAATAGAAAGTGAATTAAAGAGTAAATGAAAATACAATTGATATTTGCTAAAAGTGAAGAACTCCTGTAAAGATTTTGAAGTCTTTAAAAAAGTTTTTTATTTCCATAGGTTTTTGGGGAACAGGTGGTATTTGGTTGTACAGGTAAGTTCTTGAGTCGTGATTTGTGAGATTTTTGTGCACCAATCACCTGAGCAGTATACACTGAACCCAATTTGTAGTCTTTTATCCCTCATCCCCCTCCCACCCTTTTCTCCTGAGTCCTAAAAGTCTACTGTGTCATTCTTATGCCTTTGCATCCTCATAGCTTAGCTCCCACTTATGAGTGAGAACATAGAATGTTTGGTTGTCTATTCCTGAGTTACTTCACTTGGAATAATATTCTCCAGTCCCATCCAGGTTGCTACAAATGCCACTAATTCATTCCTTTTTATGGCTAAGTAGTATTCCATCATATATATATACACCATAATTTCTTTATCCACTCATTGATTGATGGGCATTTGGGTTGGTTCCACATTTTTGCAATTGAAAATTGTGCTGCTATAAACATGTGTGTGGAAGTATCCTTTTTGTATAATGACTTATTTTCCTCCAGGTAGATACCCAGTAGTGGGATTGCTAGTTCTAGTTCTTTAAGGAATCTCCACACTATTTTCCATAGTGGTTGTACTTGTTTACATTCTCACCAGCAGTGTAGAAGTGTTCCCTGTTCACCACATCCATGCCAGCATCTATTTTTTTTTTTTTATTTTTTTGATTATGGCCTTTCTTGCAGGAGTAAGGTAGTATCACATTGTGGTTTTGATTTACATTTCCCTGATCACTGGTGATGTTGAGCATTTTTTCATATGTTTGTTGGCCCTTTGTATATCTTCTTTTGAGAATTAAGACCTTAATGTCTTCTGTGATGACCAATGAATACTGCTAATGTCCCCAGTGAAACCAAGTGCTTCATCTCTGAGAACTTCATTCTGTGAATGGCTCTCCTAGCATTGTTTCCAACAAGGATTATGTAGAATAACTCCTTCAAATAGATAAGAAGTAAATTGAAAACTGTAGATGACTGGGCCGACAGGCAGAGCAAGATGGCTGAATAGGAACAGCTCCAGTCTACAACTCCCAGCGCGAGCGACACAGAAGACCGGTAATTTCTGCATTTTCAACTGAGGTACTGGGTTAATCTCACTAGGGAGTGCCGGACAATCGGTGCTGGTCAGCTGCTGCAGCCTGACCAGCGAGAGCTGAAGCAGGGCGAGGCATCGCCTCACCTGGGAAGCACAAGGGGGAAGGGAATCCCTTTTCCTAGCCAGGGGAACTGAGATGCACAACACCTGGAAAATTGGGTAACTCCCACCCCAATACTGCGCTTAAAGTAAATGGGCACACCAGGAGATTATATCCCACACCTGGCCGGGAGGGTCCCACGCCCACGGAACCTCCCTCATTGCTAGCACAGCAGTCTGCGATCTAACCGCAAGGCAGCAGCGAGGCTGGGGGAGGGGCGCCTGCCATTGCTGAGGCTTAAGTAGGTAAACAAAGCCGCTGGGAAGCTCGAACTGGGTGGAGCTCACAACAGCTCAAGGAAACCTGCCTGTCTCTGTAGACTGCACCTCTGGGGACAGGGCACAGCTAAACAACAACAAAAGCAGCAGAAACCTCTGCAGATGCAAACGACTCTGTCTGACAGCTTTGAAGAGAGTAGTGGATCTCCCAACACGGAGGTTGAGATCTAAGAAGGGACAGACTGCCTGCTCAAGTGGGTCCCTGACCCCTGAGTAGCCTAACTGGGAGACATCCCCCACTACGGGCAGTCTGACACCCCACACCTCACAGGGTGGAGTACACCCCTGACAGGAAGCTTCCAAAAGCAAGAATCAGACAGGTACACTCGCTGTTCAGCAATATTCTATCTTCTGCAGCTTCTGCTGCTGATACCCAGGCAAACAGGGTCTGGAGTGGACCTCAAGCAATCTCCAACAGACCTACAGCTGAGGGCCCTGACTGTTAGAAGGAAAACTATCAAACAGGAAGGACACCTACACCAAAACCCCATCAGTACGTCACCATCATCAAAGACCAGAGGCAGATAAAACCACAAAGATGGGGAAAAAGCAGGGCAGAAAAGCTGGAAATTCAAAAAATAAGAGCGCATCTCCCCTGGCAAAGGAGCGCAGCTCATCGCCAGCAATGGATCAAAGCTGGATGGAGAATGACTTTGACGAGATGAGAGAAGAAGGCTTCAGTCCATCAAACTTCTCAGAGCTAAAGGAGGAATTACGTACCCAGCGCAAAGAAACTAAAAATCTTGAAAAAAAGTGGAAGAATTGATAGCTAGAGTAATTAATGCAGAGAAGGTCATAAACGAAATGAAAGAGATGAAAACCATGACACAAGAAATACATGACAAATGCACAAGCTTCAGTAACCGACTCGATCAACTGGAAGAAAGAGTATCAGCGATTGAGGATCAAATGAATGAAATGAAGTGAGAAGAGAAACCAAAAGAAAAAAGAAGAAAAAGAAATGAACAAAGCCTGCAAGAAGTATGGGATTATGTAAAAAGACCAAATCTACGTCTGATTGGGGTGCCTGAAAGTGAGGGGGAAAATGGAACCAAGTTGGAAAACACTCTTCAGGATATCATCCAGGAGAACTTCCCCAACCTAGTAGGGCAGGCCAACATTCAAATCCAGGAAATACAGAGAACACCACAAAGATACTCCTCGAGAAGAGCAACTCCAAGACACATAATTGCCAGATTCACCAAAGTTGAAATGAAGGAAAAAATCTTAAGGGCAGCCAGAGAGAAAGGTCGGGTTACCCACAAAGGGAAGCCCATCAGACTAACAGCAGATCTCTTGGCAGAAACGCTACAAGCCAGAAGAGAGTGGGGGCCATTCAGGACATAGGCATGGGCAAAGACTTCATGTCTAAAACACCAAAAGCAACGGCAACAAAAGCCAAAATTGACAAATGGAACCTAATTAAACTAAAGAGCTTCTGCACAGCAAAAGAAACTACCATCAGAGTGAACAGGCAACCCACAGAATGGGAGAAAATTTTTGCAATCTACTCATCTGACAAAGGGCTAATATCCAGAACCTACAAAGAACTCAAACAAATTTACAAGAAAAAAACAAACAACCCCATCAAAAAGTGGGCAAAGGATATGAACAGACATTTCTCAAAAGAAGACATTCATACAGCCAACAGACACATGAAAAAATGCTCATCATCACTGGCCATCAGAGAAATGCAAATCAAAACCACAATGAGATACCATCTCACACCAGTTAGAATGGCAATCATTAAAAAGTCAGGAAACAACAGGTGCTGGAGAGGATGTGGAGAAATAGGAACACTTTTACACTGTTGGTGGGACTGTAAACTAGTTCAACCATTATGGAAAACAGTATGGCGATTCCTCAAGGATCTAGAACTAGATGTACCATATGACCCAGCCATCCCATTACTGGGTATATACCCAAAGGATTATAAATCATGCTGCTATAAAGACACATGCACACGTATGTTTATTGCAGCACTATTCACAATAGCAAAGACTTGGAATCAACCCATATGTCCATCAGTGGCAGACTGGATTAAGAAAATGTGGCAAATATACACCATGGAATACTATGCAGCCATAAAAAAGGATGAGTTCGTGTCCTTTGTAGGGACATGGATGCAGCTGGAAACCATCATTCTTAGCAAACTATCACAAGAACAGAAAACCAAACACCGCATGTTCTCACTCATAGGTGGGAACTGAACAATGAGATCACTTGGACTCGGGAAGGGGAACATCACACACCGGGGCCTATCATGGGGAGGGGGGAGCAGGGAGGGATTGCACTGGGAGTTATACCTGATGTAAATGACGAGTTGATGGGTGCTGACGAGTTGATGGGTGCAGCACACCAACATGGCACAAGTATACATATGTAACAAACCTGCACGTTATGCACATGTACCCTAGAACTTAAAGTATAATAATAATAAATTTTTAAAAAAAAGAAAACTGTAGAAATCCAGACTATCTGAAATAATATATGCCTGTTAATGATAGAGCTATGTTGCTCTAGCTGTGCTGTTCTTTTGTGGTGGAACTTTCAGCAAGATATTTAACTTCTGTGGGATTCACTTTTCCTTCTTTGCTGTAAATTCTCTATCCCTAAATCTTTACATAACTGGCTTCTTCCTGTCTTTCACATCTCAACTTGAATATCACCTTATTAGAGAGACCTTCCAGACCACTCATTTGGAGTTTTCAACCCCCTATCTGTATTATATTGCTCTACCTTTTCTTTATAGCACTTTCCATTATCTGATATTATCTTGTTTCATGGATTTGTTGTGTGTGTGTGTGTGTTTTCTTTTTTTGTCTGTCTCTTCAAAGACCAAGGATATTCTTTTCATCGTTGCTGTATTTCCACTGCTGGAATAGTACCTGACACACTGGAGGTACTCAATAAATGTTGAATAAATGAAAGGCTGAATAAATGCCCTGTCTAAATCATAGCTTTTCCATGGAGGCAAAATTATATGTAATGTATATAGATGTGAACTGAAAACTAAAAAGTACTCCACAGATAGAAACTTGTAACCTAGTAATCTCCTTGACCACTATTTCCCTGACACTAACTAAGGTACAATTTTCAGTTCTACCTTTCCTGATCTAAGGTATGAAAAACTTAAAACAAGTTGTATGAGTGTGACATCCTGAATTACATCCTTTCAAGTGAGAATGTCCTGTGATCTGATGATACACTAAGAACTTAATGAAGAATGAAGAGCTTTTATTGTTGTCCTTGTTATTTTGTTTAACATTAAAGGTAGGGTTTTTGGTTTTATTTTTACTTTTGTTTATTTTATTTATTTATTTTTTTTGAGACGGAGTTTTACTCTTTGACTCAGGCTGGAGTGAAGTGGCATGATCTCGGCTCACTGCCACTTCCACCCCCTGGGTTCAAGCAATTCTCCTGCCTCATCCTCCGAAGTAGCTGGGATTACAGGCGCACGCCACCACGCCTGGCTAATTTTTGTAGTTTTAGTAGAAATGGGGTTTCGCCATGTTGGCCAGGCTGGTCTTGAACTCCTGACCTCAGGTGACCAATTTGCCTCAGCTTCCCAAAGTGCTGGGATTACAGGCATGAGCCACTGCGCCCAACCATTAAAGGTGTTTTCTACAGGGATCAAGCAAAACACAAGACATAACCTCAGTATATCCCCATAAATTCTCATCGAGGCTGAAATGGATATAAGGAATACCTGAAGAAACCTATTTATAGAAATTGCTAAGTGTTATATTCCCCTACATGCATAGAATAGGGCTTGGTTCCAGTGCAGGAAGAATTTATCATAAATACTTAATGCAGAGAAAAGATAACATATGTTCTACTGCAGGTATACTTCCTTTTAATGGGAAGATCAAAACTAATGTTAACAACTACAGGAGACAAGGTACTCAGCTGTGAAATGAAATGTACTCAGTCACTGTTTGGCAATTGGGTAGTTTTTCTCTAAAAACCTAATCAGCACAGTACAGAATAAGTTGTAGAAGAAAACTGAACTTGCACTGCTTCTCCATTCATTAAGACAGCTCACACTGAGCTCCACACAGCTGGAGCCCCATGCTGAAAACCATCACATTGTACTTTTAGCAAACCTCTTAGATACTGTCCTCAAAATGAAACCCTTTTATAGGAAGGGAGGGAGAAAAAAGTCTAGGAAAAAAAGAAATGTGACAATACTTTGATTTAAAGTTAGAAAAAAAGGTATGAAATAAGTTTGGACCATTCCTTTAAAAATAACTATAAAAATTTCAGATACCAAATAAAGATAGTTTTGTCCAAAATTTCAAAATGTTAAAAGGAGGTATTTGTATTCTTTAAATGAATCTGGACTTATTTAGCAACTGAATCCTTATGTTTTAACAAGCTTTAGTTTTCAAATAGAGGTCCTGGATTTGATCTTCCAATATTGGAAAACTAATTTCCATAGCCACTATTTTTCCTACAAATCTTTTTAGTTTCAGCTCACATATCAATAAAATAAGAAAGGAGGAAAGTTGATTTGCAGCAAGCTAGTAGTTTAGGTATTTGCTCCAGTAAGTGTTCAATACACATTTAACAAGTAAAGGCACCATGGCAGAGGGACAAGAACTGTACAGGGTTGTTTCCCCTTAACTTAGCTCTTGCACAGAATCTCCTTTTCAGAGACCTTACCCATCCTCAGGACTTGAGGGTTCATCTTTGTGGAGTAAGTCTAGAGACCTTAACCTCTTGGCCTGACTTCTCTCCTACTAATATCTAACTAGGTATTTCTGCCTGAGTGTTCCGTTGTACCTTGAAATTCACACATCGAAAACACTGGTTCACCTTCTCACCTTACCTCACAAATTATCTCTCATGTGTCTCTTCCTTTTCTGTAAATGGTATAATTGTTTCAGAAACACAGGCTCCAATCCTCAGATTCTTATTTGAGCTCCTCCTGTCCTTAACCGGTTCAATAGTGCTGTTAATTTCACTTCAAGTGTTTCACATCTGCCATTTTCTTCTCACTCATTAGCTTAATATAGGCCCATCTCCTATCATACCTGACTTCACTGGGTTCAGTTGCACAAACCTGTTCTTCAATGCCATTTTCTGAGCTGGCTCTGGTGTCTCTGAGCCTCATTTTTCTTGTTTTAACTCATTTTGCATTTGTTTTAATTCACTTTGCATATTGCTGCCCAATTTCCTATCTAAAGGATTTTTGTTTTGTTTTGTTTTGTTTTTCACTTACCTGTTAAAAAATAATAAATGCCTTCTGTTGTTTCCAAGTCCAAATTCCTTAGACTGTTATTTGAAGCTATCCATAATCTGGCCCTCTTCTGTCCATACAACCTTATTTGTTACTACCTCCCTACATGAAAGACTCTCAACCAGGCCAATCTACTGAACCTTGCTCATGCCATCACCTTACCTGAATGCCCTTTCCAGTTGCCCTCTACTGAAATTTTACTTCTCCATAGCAAATATTAGTTTCCTTGTTTTGTTTGTTAGCTGATCAGAGTTTATTCCAACTTTAATGACAATACATTTTCTTTTCATTGAATTATCTCTTCTTCTCTCTATACTGTGCTCTGGGATTGTTATCAAGACTTTTCCCCCTCCCCTATCCAGGAGGCCAGGAATGCAACCCTGCCATGACCAACCAGATTCTTCCTTCTGGGAAGTGGAATTTTGAACAGAAGGCCAGCAGACTGGAAAAGATAGGAACTCATTTATTCCAGTGGAGGTAACTTCAGAGACTGTTGAGTATTTCTTGCTATTTAGATCTCTAGGGTTATCTTGTCTTCTGACTTTTCCAAATTCAGACCTCTGGACTATCTGTTGATTCTATGAGAACTTCCATATTCTTCCAGAAAACTCTTTTTTATTAGAGAAATAATTTATGTTGTTTGCGATAAAATTTTAAATTAAGTCACCATTTCATTTTTAAGGCCCTACTTGAACTCTTCCTGCCACACGAAGTCCTTCCTGAGCACCCCAGGTCACAGTGATCAACCCCTCTGATCCATTCCTTTAGCATGTCTCGGTCAGTCATTAAAATACTTACTGACCATGAACTATGAATCCCACTCTGTGCTACCATACCATATAATTTTTAAAAAGTGTGTTATCTCTCTCGCTCTCTCTTTTTAGGAGAACAGCTTAGTTTTATTAGTAGACAATTGTTTTCTTCAAAGTCAGTGCTGACACAAACATAAATGTTTCTCACTTGGTGCCTGACATGTGCAGAAAACACATTTTTTTCTTACTGATTGACAAAAGTTGTCTCTCCCATCAAAGATGTTTAAGGAGAATATCACTACAATAACAGGACTACTTGGTACTAACTAAATTAATAAAAATACAATAACTAAGAACATAATATATAGTTCTAAAGAACTCTTCATCACATTCTAACTTGCTTGCCTAGATAGTTTTAATAGCAAAACCATCGGTTAATGTGCTACTTTCCAGAAGTTGAGTGTGGAATCTCATCTTTTAGTAGATATCATTGCCATTTTCCTGAATTAATTTGAAAGATTCTCAAGACTTCAACCATCTTACTCCTAAGAGCTGTCATTAGCATCATTCAAGCATACTGTCACCTAGTTCATTTGAAAAGGTAAGAGCCGGGCAGTGCAGTAGATTTATTTAACTCTCAACTCCACATCCTATTTTAAATATAATTGGGAGTGGGAGGTAGGGGAAGAATTAATGTAAGCTTCTGTATTTAACAACAACAACAACAATCTCAAATAACTACCAAGCAACCATTCATAGAATCATTGAGATCCTGGCTGTTATTCTATCTATGGGGCAGTCATGGATATAAAGCAATGAGGAATACTGGGTAAGAATATCTTGAAGAGTGGAAGAGAGAATAAAGAAAAGAAAGCACCTACCTTCTTTTCCAGTCTATCAATTAATTTCTGGAGTCTATTTATCTGGATCATCCACTGATTGTCTTCTTCTAATAAGCCTGGGGCCAGGGAGAATCATGAGGGCAATATGTTAAACTTTAGACAGAGAAGAAATACTTGGTTATATCAGAGCTTTCCTTCAACCCTGAAGGAAGGATGCAGTGTCACTGACAGGTCATATTTTTAATGTATTCATGAGTGCTTTCTAAGGTATTGATTTCCATAGATCCACGCATCCTACGGGTTCACTTCCACAGGTCTGTTTTTTATGTAATTGCCTATCTGGCCTTTGATATTCAAAGAAAAGATCCTGCTGAGCCATTTACAAAACCCCATGATGTAGTTGGTTTTCTTTTGCAAAAAGGAAAGCATCAATCAACAATTCTAAACTTACTTGTAGGGCAGTGGCAAGAGCCAGTGAAATCATATCCCTGACCATAGCAAGGTGTAAATTGCTACGATCAAAAAGAAGCATAAAGGTAAGACAGCTGGTGTCTCCTTTCCGAGGACTAACTTGAGTATACATACATGGGCTCTATAATCATGGCATAGTGGTTAAGAGTGCAGACTGGAGCCTGTTGATCTATATTCATATATATGATATAAACATACATATATATTTATATGTATGTAGTGTGTGTGTGTGTGTGTATCTAGTACCAAGTTAAACATTATAGAAATTCTGCTACTATTATTGTTTTTATCAACATTATTATGCAAAGGGAAGAGTTATGATCTGAGCCCATGCACAAACATCCTGGCATATTTGTGTATACTGATTGTAGCTTAATAAAAATGTTTTCATAGGCATTTGCTGAAGTAGTATTGTTTAATATTTCTTGAAATAAGAATGTGATTGAATTCAAGACTATAAAGCCTTGTGTTAGCTTTGAATACAATAAAGACAAGAACTAAATTATAAAGGGAGAGTGATGTCATCAGAATTTACTTCTCCACCTGCCTTCTTGGAGGCAGCACCTTTCAAAACCCACCAAATTATGATGTAAAAATGAGCATTGGTGTTGCCACAAAGTGGCTACAAAAAAAAAGGAGAGAGAGAGAGAAAAAAGAAAGGGGCTGATTGGAGAAAATATTATAAATATATTAATAAAATTTATATTTTTTAAAATTCTAATACAATATTTCTAATCTGGGTTGTTTCCAAAATAATTTAAGGTGGCTGTCACATCAAAGGCCCAAGGAAAGATATTTTGGACTATTTTCTAAAGGTTAAAATGGAAAGAACAATCTATATGTTACTTCCGGAGCTTAGCATTGTCATTTTCTAGTTGCATTTGGTAGATCGTATTATTTTTCCCAATTCTTCACTTTTTTCCTGTTATAGAAGTATCTGTATATACCCTTGCACCACAACTTTGCAGTATCTCCTATTATAGTGGATGAAGCACATTTCCCTCCCCGTTGTTACTGTGCTTGACATGTGACTTGTTTGGCCAGTGGAGAAATAGCAGACAAGATGCACACAGTACATAAAACAATGGTTTTTAATATGCATGTATAATTTTGGGCTGGCTGCATGTGCTTCTGACACCCACTAGGAAAAGAAAATGCTCCAGTTGCTGCTTATTCCAGAAGGAGGCTACATGAAGAGTGGGGCCAATCTCAACCTACATACAGCCTGGAACCACATCCAACTGAAATTGCCCAAATCACCAACCATAGGCTCATGAGAGAGAAAAACAAGTGTCTATGAGTGTAACCATCAAGATTTTAAGGTTGCTTCACAATAAAAATGGACTAATATTCCATATGACCTTGGACAAATCATTTAACTTCCCAGGCTTGTTTCCTTACCTGTGAAATGGAGAAATAGGGAAATTAACATCTATTTTATCAGGTGTCAAGATAAAATAAGGCTTTATTCATGAAAATACTCTGAAATTGTTCAAGTACAGTTGGTGAAAATATAAAATACAGCTTATACCTTGATTTTCTGAATATTAGATATTTAAAGACTCATTTGTGTTAAAATGACATGTTCAAGTGACACATGTGCATGCATATATGCATGCTTTATAAAAATTACGCCAATATTTAGCAACATGAGTTTGCATATTTCAAATTGATTTAAAAATGGTTATAAGTGACACAGTTAAGATTTAATAACCTAACAATTACGAGTATGGTTTAGCCCAGTAAATCTTACATCACATTACAAACTTCAAAAATACCAGCTATGACTAATCCTATCATGAAAACAAGGATCCTTTCCCCAAATGAACTTAGGATATGCTTAGGGAGACTTGGAGATCTAGAGCATATTACGGTAGAGCCTCTTTATTTCAAGATGATGGGGAGTTCTTATAGACGTCAAGTCTTTTAGATGCTAGCTGATGGAACTACTGCCTTCCCTGTTCACCATCTCTCTGTGTGCTTTCCAGGAACAACTGCTAGGATTCTGACTGTACTGATTTTAGGCTCACCACCCCAGTTCTTCATACCCTACACTCTTCACTGCTTCTGTCTCAAACTTACTTGGTATAAGGAAAGTATTCCATTACTATTGTCTTATCTGTTGTTTGTTAAAATAGTCAATTGGAAAACACAAGATAAATTGACTTTGACAAAGAAAAACAAACGAAGGGTATGTTACCTGGACCGCTGACATTAAACTGAGGGCTGTTTGGGGAGAAGCTGTTGTGTCTCTGGATTCGGCGGCTTGATCGTTTTCCAGGCCATTGAATTGACAGGACTTCTGGCTTGGCTGGCCCTTGCCTTAATCAACAGAGATAACATTTAACCTTAAGGTTAGTGCTTCAGTCTCTTCCCTCAGGGAACAGATCTTCATGCGTCAGTCACAAAGGTTTTCTAGTGCAGTGGAATGAAAACATGAGAATGACTGCTTGTAAACGCTCTAGAAACCCAACATAATTTGGTACTACAGTATGTGAACCTAAGAAAGAGAATTCTGAGCTTTCTTTATTCTTAAAATTCTGAGTAAAAACTGTAATTTAAGGCAGGCTTTTTTGCTTTGTTGGTCAACATTCAATGGAAAAACATGTGTATGCAGCTATTGTATTTTGTTTAATTTAAAAACACTTATGGAGTTTTTTCTGTAATTCAGTTTTTGATTTTTTGGATCAAAGCTATACATCCATATATTTTTAGGAGTCAAATGATTCTATAAATCTTATTTCAACAAACAGGAGCTCCCTCCTTTCACCCCCACATCATATTCCCACTCCTCTTTCAAAAGGGCAACACTTTTTAGCATGTGTTTACTTTCATATCAGTATATGTTATGATATGAAAGTAGTATATATTAAAATATATATTATATGCAGTATATGTTATATACTATATACAGTATATGTTATATACTGATATGAAAGTAAACACCTCCTAAATTATCAGTATATAACACGCTTAATTGGTATGTCTATAATTTTTAGTTTTAGGCTTTATAAAACTTCACAATATGAAAAGCTCAGGCCAATGATATACAAATGGAAATGTTGTAAGAAATTTCCATGAAGGCTGCTTAAAAGTACAGATTCAGCTAGAAGGGAGCCCTTTTGTCTTTCCTTAATCTTCTTTCCTGGTTGGAATGTGAATATGGTAGCTTGATCTTCAACAAACATATTGGTCTATGAGGCAAACTTGGGAACAGTTTATTATATTAATATGCACTTAATACATGAAAAAGAGAGTGTCTGTGATAAATCTGTAAGGATGTAATACTTAAGCTGCCTCCAACAAGATTTCTTTATAGGAGATATAATCCCTTCTGTGTAAGATATAATCCTTCTGTGTTTAAGACAGATCTAAGATTAATGTACTCATCCAAAAATCTTCATTATCTATCAGCTAGGGAAGATTCCTTTAGCCTTTCTCCTATGTTGGATGACCTCTGATCCCCCTTTTACTAGATTTCATTTTTTTCTTAGTTGACTCCTTTGTTTTGGTGGAAAATATCCCCTAATTGCTTCATAAGAAATGTGCATAATGAAAGGTAAAATTCTTGAAACATTGCATGAATAAACATCTTCCTTACTTTATTGATGGTTTTATGGAATACAGATTTCTAGACTGCCAATTGTTTTGAAAAATTTGCTCCATTGTGTTCTATCTCCCAGAGTCACTATTGAAAAATGTAGTGTTTTCTTGAATATTTGCATATGGCCTGGTTTTTCTCTCTGGGAGTTTTTAGATACTTGTCTTTGTTTCCAGTATTGTGAAACTTCATAATGGTGTGTTTTGTGTTTGAATTTTATTAGCATTATAATGAGCTCTTGGTCTGTTCTATCAAACTGGACACATATATCCAATTCTGACTATTTTCTTAAATTCTTCCTTTGGTAATTTTTCTGCTTTGTTCTCTTTCCAGAATTGCTATTTTACAAACAGTAGACCTCTTGGACTGAGACTCTAGTTTCCTTATTTCTTATATTTCACCTCTTTGTGGAGATTTCCTCACACTTTTATATTTCAACCTTCTTCAGAGAATGTAATTTTTGCAATCATAATTTCCAAGACCTCTTTTGTGTGCTTTGAATCTTATTTTTAAAGCGTTCTATCCTTAATTCATAAATGCAGTATCTTTTCTTTAGTTTTTGAAGGTATTGAAAATCTTTTGAAAGTTTTTGTCTGCTCTCTGGATTATCTGCTTCTTCCAAGTTTCTTTTCTTGTGTTTGATTTGTCCTTTTGGTTGACCCCACACATTTTAGAAGGAAGAACTACAAGTCCGACTGGAACCTCTTTGTTTGTGGCAGGGATTGCCAACTTGCAGTTTTCACTGTAAAGTGGCCTGACCGGGCCTATTCTTCAGGGAACCCTGACCATTGGCATTGTTAAGTATTTTCTCTGGGATTAATTAGATCCCTCAAAGAAGCATGCCCCAACTGGAGGGTCTGAGCCCTGTTGTTAGTACTCTGGGAGTACAATATATGAAGGAGATTTCACATCTCACTCTTCAATATGTCAACTTTCAGTTAGTGTCTCCTTTGTTAGTATTGTGCCCTATCAGCTGTGCCAGGTATACATCTGCTCACCTTCTCCAGACAGCTTATCTCTGGGGTTCTTCAAGGATCAGTTAGGAGCAGTCACTAGATAGCACTGGGTGGAGCTTCCAGCAATATATCAGCCCTACCTTCACCCTCATTTTCAGTTCCACATGGGACAGCCAAGTTTTGAGCTTTTCTGAGGTTCTGTGATACCAAATATATTGTATCTTGGCTTCTTACATTGCCTGCTTCAGTTTCAGCTTTCTCAGAGCTTCTAAATCAACTTCCACTAGATTCACCTTTCCATGTTCCAAGTTTCTGTCCCTTTGGCTCTTCTTCTATTCTTATTTTTGCAGGTTAATGCCTCCTTTTATCCAGGTACTTTTAATATAATGTTTTGAAGGGTTTAGAGAGAGCGCAAAAGAAATTATATGTTTAATCTTCAATCTTTAACTAAATCTCCCTATGAATTTTTCTATGGTATATAAAAATCCAAGTTCTTGGCCAGGCACAGTGGCTCATACCTGTAATCCCAGCACTTTGGGAGGCTGAGGTAGGGGGATCACCTGAGGTCAGGAGTTCGAGACCAGCTTGGCCAACCCAGTGAAACTCCGTCTCTACTAAAAATACAAAAATTTGCCGGGCGTGGTGGCAGGCGCCTGTAATCCCAGCTACTTTAGAGGCTGAGGCAGGAGAATTGCTTGAAACCAGGAGGTGAAGGTTGCAGTGAGCCAAGATCACACCACTGCACTACATCATGGGTGACAAAGTGAGACTCCATCTCAAAAAAAAAAAAAAAAAAAAAAAAAAATTCCAAGTTTTTAGCAGCTTTGGTGGTCAGGGGAATAGGTGATTAGAGCAATCCTTCTCTACATTCAAGCTAAGGAAATCTAAGCTGTCTAAACTTTTATAACCACCTGTAAGTGAAATTAAAGCTGTTCCTTACTTCTATAATAGACAACTATCAAAAGGAGAAAAATAACTTTCAAGTCAAGAAACAATTAATTACATTCCTGGATATAGAAGAACTTTGGGAAATAGAGCAAATTTGCAGATTCCATTATAAAAAGGAAATCCATATATAATGAAAACTGTGTTCCCAGAAATTTAGTTTGTGAGGAAGAGAGGTTTATGTAAGAGAACAGGGGACCTCTAGAGGGAAACTTCCATATGACATACTTATTATTCTTGTCATTAGCTATAGGTACTTTCTGAATACATGGGATTAATGTAATTCACATTTAGTCAGTTTGCCAGGGCAGACACAAAGAGTGTTGTAGCACGCCATCTGGAAATTCCACCTCTGTGGCATTCCAGCTGTATACATCCCTTCTCTCTCAATTATCCATTTTCACGTGAATAGACACAGACATTTTGCCCAACATGGCATGTCTACCTCATTACTGCAGGATGAATGATACTGTGTGATTCTCCCCTGGGGCTGAGAGATGGAATAGATGACTTCCCTAAATTTGCTATATTCCAAGGAGTCTTTGTACCCCTAGGTTTCACAAATATTAAATCCCAAAGTAATGTTGATGCTGAAGGGAAAGCAAATTATCACAAGGCTGGAGATTTTAATGATACCTGCAGGTTGCAACTATTTACTTATTTATTTATTTTTGAGATAGAGTTTCGCTCTTGTTGTCCATGCTGGAGTGCAGTGGCGCAATCTGTGCTTACTGCAACCTCCGCCTCCTGGGTTCAAGTGATTCTCCTGCCTCAGCCTCCCGAGTAGCTGGGATTACAGCTATCTGCCACCACACCCGGCTAATTTTTTGTATTTTTAGTAGAGACGGGGTTTCATCATGTTGGCCAGGCTGGTCTCAAACTCTTGTCCTCAGGTGATCCACCTGCCTTGGTCTCCTAAAGTGCAGAGATTACAGGCGTGAGCCATCATGCCTGACCAGCAGGTTGTAACTTCTTGACTGTGAAGGGCATCACAAAATCTTCCTTTCTAACATAAAATACTGATGAATTGGCTGGGCATGGTGACTCAAGCCTGTAATCCCAGCACTTTGGAGGCCGAGGCAGGTAGATCACCTGAGGTCAGGAGTTCGAGTCCAGCCTGGCTGATATGGTGAAACCCCATCTCTACTAAAAATACAAAAATTAGCTGGGCGTGGTGGTGGGTGCCTGTAGTCCCAGTTACTCAGGAGGCTGAGACAGGAGAATTGCTTGAACTCGGGAAGCGGAAGTTGCAGCGAACCGATTTTGCCTCATTGCACTCCAGCCTGAGTGACAGAGTAAGACTTTGTCTCAAAACAAACAAACAAACAAACAAAAAATTGGTGAATTTTTGTTTGCATCTATCTAGCTTTTAAGATCTTTCTGAACCCCAGATGACTGTTAGATTGGTCTCCTCAGTGTCCTGGGTCCTCACCAACTGCTTCTCTGCAGCACTCCTTTCATTCATTCACTTTCATATGTTTGCCATGTAGTTGTAGTAAGTAGAGGGGACTTATGCAAAGTCTATGCCATCTAAAAACTCAGTGTCTAATGGGGGAGATAAACAAGGAAGGGGCTGAGATAAGTAGATATAAAAGAGGGCACTATGGGAATACATGGTAGTGAGGTGGGAAGTATAAATGAGCAGTGAAGGCTTCCCAGAGAAAGTACTGTCCAATCAGTGACAAGACAGGCGAGCAGAAGTGAGCCAGATAAGAGATGGGTAACATGAGGTGGGTGAGGTGGATCCCTCTAGAGAGAATCTCATTCTGCCATTCAAATTCATCCTAAAGGTCCAGTTAGAGTCTTGTCTTCCCATCAGGCTTTTTCACTGGTCTCTTAATTGACATCATAGGAAAGGTATAGTTTTCCTTTCTCTATCTTTTCCTCACTGATGAAGGTCCCAGGGCTCTCCCCAGTTTTGGTGGCCAGCTGATAGGAAGATACAACCTTGAGAGAGGAGACACAGCCCCTTTAGGTTTGGGCCCAATTCACGTGCTTCAGTATGGTTCATCAGATATTGTGGGCATAAATCCACAGTGGTACCTTATTTTCTGTTTGCTTATTTATGTATTTCTTTATAAACCTCTCAGGGGGAGTATCACAGATGTGGGGTGGGATTTGGTCATTCCTGGATGTCTTAGTCAAATGCCATACAATAGCACCCCTTAAACTGCAGTCAGAGGTGTAACTTTTCCCATAATTTGAAGTTGTTTTTGAGTGAGAAATCCAGAAGAAAAAGGTTCATTAATCCTCTAGTGTCTTCTACTTTCCTTAAAGTCTATATTGTCATGCTCCTTCTCATTAAGCACAGCTGCTAGGCAGCTGCTGGCAGCAGTCACAAGAGTTCAAGGCTAGCCTGTGGCCTAACACAAAGAACTGTTGTTCATTAAACATTCACTGCATGGTGGTAAATGCAGAGCACAAGTTTGCAGGGGATGACTAGAAAAAAACAAAAGTGCAGGTGAAGAAGGGGAGTAGAGCACTTTTTCAAGCCTCTTCTCAGGTGGCAGATGACTGATTCTAAAAAGGGAGTTCACATTTTATTTCCAGAAAGTCCAAACAAAAGAAACAACACAGGAGGCCTCATTTTTCTCATTAGGAACATGAAATCAATTTCACTGTGCTTCAAGACATTCAGTTATCCTCTACTCAAAGCTGAGGAGGTGGGTTTTGCTTTTCTAAAGTGAATTGTTATACTTTGCCATTTGGTATGGAATCACCCAATGCAGTGAAAACAGGAAGTTTATGATGTAGAGAATGCTTCACAGATCCACTGAAGAGTACTTCGCTGTGATAATCAGCTGCATGGGCTCATTAGATTCTGGAATTACAGGCTTTTTTATTAGAATTTGGTGGTGCTCACTCATTTTGACATTGTAAACACATGGTTGAAAATTCCACTATTTTGGAGATGTCTGAATAATTATGCATCAGTCAATTTGTTCAGGAAAATTGGTCTTACAGGGTAGTCTATTATCAGCCTGTTCAGAAAACTTACTGTTTCCTTCTCTCTAGTTTAAGATGTAAAAGTTAGATAAAGCACATCTATAAGTTTAAAGTAACACATCCACCAAAATATGCCCCAGGAGCAAGAGCTTTGCAAGCTTCTCTAACTTGCAAGATATGAGCAATGACAACTCAGAAAAATATCAACTGTTGGCTGGGATTGCCTTGATGTCTGCCCTACACATTTTTAGTACAGGTTTCTCTTAAGCATTAGTGTCTTTACTTATATAGCTATTGCAATATGACCACTTATTTTCTCAGTGATACCTATTGGTGGCATATAATTTTGAAATAATTTCTATCATTCACTTTTCTCCATTTCCTGAAATAATTAGGCTTACTGAATTCTCAGGTCTCCCCAGTATATCCAGGTTCATGTAGTCTGTAAGGGTCTTTCCCATCATTTCCACATTTTCAAAATTACACCAAATTAACAAGGAAGGGGCTGAGATAAGTAGATATAAATAGAGGGCACTATGGGAATACATGGTAGTGAAGTGGGAGGTATGAATGAGCAGTGAAGGCTTCCCAGAGAAATTACTGTCCAATCAGTGACCAGACAACCAAAAAGAAGTGAGCCAGATGAGAGGTGGGTAACAGGAGATGGGTGAGATGGATCCCTCTAGAGAGACTCTCATTCTGCCATTCAAATTCATCCTACAGGTCCAGTTCAAGTCTTGTCTTCCCATCAGGCTTTTTCACTGATCTCTTGATTTTGCAAGACAAGCTCAAATAGAGAACTCCATGAAATTGACCTTCTCATCCTTCCATCCCTCTATCCATATTTAATCTTTTACTACTCTGAAAACCATTGGTAATGTATTTCCTCTTCTCTGTGGTATTTATTATCACTTTGTTCCTTGCAGTATAGTTTTTGTGTTCATGTCTTATTTATATGATAGACTTAGGCCTTCTTAAGGATTGACATTATGTTGAATGTATCTTTATATTATTCATAATATTTTAAAGTCTTCTCCATCTACTAAATTTTCAATTAAAATTTGTTGAGTCGGCTGAGCTTGGTGGCTCACACCTGTAATCCCAGCACTTTGGGAGGCCAAGGTGGGAGGATCACCTGAGGTTGGGAGTTTAAGACCAGTCTGATCAAGATAGTGAAACCCCGTCTCTACTAAAAAATACAATAAATTCGCTGGGCGTAGTGGTATGTGCCTGTAATCCCAGCTACTCGGGAGGCTGATGCACAAGAATTGCTTGAACCCAGGAGGCAGAGTTTGCAGTGAGCCAAGATCGTGCCACTGCACTGAAGCCTGGGTGACAAAGTGAGACTCTGTCTCAAAAATAAAAAAAGATAGATAGATAGATAGATAGATAGATAGATAGATAGATAAATAGACAGACAGATAGATAGATAGAGTTGACTAAATGACTGACAGTAAAAGAAAAAGTGGAATGGTCTTTTTAGAGGCAAATAATAATGCAAGCAACCAGTGGAGGTCACCGTCATTCGTTTTAAATATATCAATTCTCGTTTTTAGTTTTTGCTAGTATAAGTACAATGCCTCTCAATTGTTTTTTCATGAACATAGAGTCACCCAGCAGACATCAGATGAAAACATGCAAATTGCCTTTCTTGACGGGTTTGCTCCTCAGTAGTTTCCATGGCACATTCCAGGGAATTCTGGAGAGACTGCAGCTGATTCAGGGTTTCCTTCAATAAAAACCGAGTTACGAATTGTTCCAAATTGGAGGCTTCTTGGTAGTCCTAAGAGTGACAAAACAAATGTAATTAGAAGTATGGTAGAAAAAAATACCCAGGATTTTTTTTTTTTCTTTTACCATGTACTCATCAATCCCTGATTGATCCTAGAGAGAGAGGGTGGAGAGAAGAGAAGAAAAAAGATCTGTTGAGCCCTGGAGGCTACAGCATAGCTCTCATCCACCCACCAGGAGATGAATAAAAAAGCTGCAGAAATGACTGGAATATCTTGCTTCCCAATGTACCTGCCTCAAGATTAAGAAAAAGGACAAAGTCAGCAGAGTTGCAAAATAGACGTTTGTAGAAAAGAAAAAATAACTATTCAGGGGGAAAAAAAAGATCAGAATGTGACTAACTCAGGGTTTGTTCTATGTCTCATTTGAACGTTGACCATGCCATCATATATTTTCTCTATTACCAACAAAGTGCAGCCACGTTTCAGCAATTGGCTTAATTCACTCCTGATGTATTTCTTATGCTTGATCTGTACTATGCTGAAGACAAAGAAAATTATGTGTAGTTATTTAAAATTCAGAAAATGTTAGGCTTGGAATATTTAAACAGTTTACTAAATCTGCTTATGTCTCTCCCTCAGTAACTTTACCTGAGGTTCATTGACAACTAACTCCTAGGACAGCACCTGAACCACAAAAGCAGCATTCACTGAAACAGCCCCAGGGTCACTGCAGAGGTCACTGCAGACTGAATAAATGTACTTGCCAAGCTTACTCAAGGTAGATGGGTGAACTGTGGATGGTACCACCTGCTGTGCTTGTCTTCTTAAAATCTCAGGGAGAACCAACAAAGAAAACCAGGTTGATGTGGAATAAGATGGTGAGAGGGCCACTCTTTCAGGTCATGGGACCACCAGTGAAATCTGATTTTCTAGTCTTGAGTGGAAATGGTATAATCAAGTTTATTCAAGGAAAAGATTTATTCGTCTCTGTCCCTAAACAAAAATTTTTTATGGCTGAAAAGACAAAACACAAAATGACTGATGGTGATAAGATAATACCACGAATCATGATATGCTGGAGAAACTTAGGGCATAGTTATAAACCTACACAAATAAGATTTAGGTATCTAACCTTCCTGGTTCTCAGCTTTCCCACTTATAAATCACTAAGTAACTCTGGCATACATTCCAACTCAAAAATATTCTGTGCTTCTATCAACTTTAATTTAGGAAGAATTGGATTATGGCCTCCTGATACAATTTACTTTGGAAGTTTTGCTAATAGAAGAATAATATAATAACATAGAAAATCTCATTTCTTTCTCAATTTGAAATAGTAAAAGGTTTCAATCATCAGCCTCTTTTTAAGCCCATTCATTACAGGTGAACAACACAGGAAATTTTCTTATCTACTGTGATGGTTAATATTGAGTGTAAACTTGATTGGATTGAAGGATGCAAAGTATTGTCCCTGGGTATGTCTGTGAGGGTGTTGCCAAAGGAGATTAACATTTGAGTCAGTGGACTACGAGGGGCAGACCTACCCACCATCTGGGTGGGTATCAACTACTGCAGCTGCCAGCGTGGTTAGAATAAAGCAGGCAGCAGAAGATGGAAGAGCAGATTTGCTGAGTCTTCTGGCCTTCATCTTTCTTCTGTGCTGGATGCTTCCTGTCCTCAAACATCAGACTCCAGGATCTTCGGCTTTTAGACTTTTGGACTTACACCAGTACTTTGCCAGGGGCTGTCAGGCCTTTGGCCACAGACTGAAGGCTGGACTGTTGGCTTCCCTACTTTTGAGGTTTTGGAACTCAGACTGATCCACCACTGGTTTCCTTTCTCCTCAACTTGCAGACGGCCTATGTGGGACTTTACTGTGTGATCCTGTGGTGTGAATTAATTCTCCTTAATAAACTCCCTTCATATAAACATCTATCCTATTAGTTCTGTCCCTCTGGATAACCCTGACTCTTACATCTACCATATATAATAGTCCTATTTAAAAATTAAAAATTGCAATGTCTTTAAACTCCATTTAAGAAACTAACCATAAACTAAACATAACCATTACATGCTTATAATAATCTTAAGAGTTTTGGGTGAGTTAAATCAAGCTAAAAATATTCCAAATATTTAATATTATCTCATAGCTTGCTATTTATTGGTTTAAAAAAAGCTTCAAAAAATTTTCTCTGAACGAGTTTTTAAAATTGAGGAAGGCTTTTCTTTGAGGTTGAAAGAAAATGTGATGATAGAACAAAAGGTGTGTTTGAGTCTTTTCCCACAGTTATTTCCACATCACCAATGAATATTTTAAAAAATAAAATTTATTAAAATGAAAATAAAATATAATTGCAAAGTCAAGGATTATGCCAACTATTTTTGTATCTCTGTATATACTATGACTAATATAAAACAAATGAGAAAAAGTTTTATACTTATTTGTAGACTGCAGTGAAAAATGAAGCAAGCATACATTTACTGAGCAATAAAGCATAGCATTGTCCTTATTCTTTTCTCATTTAAATATTACATATTTGTCATGTCAGAATTATAGAAAAGAGATTTTTAAAATTATAGTTAGCCATTTAAAACACTCCAGGCATTGCAATTAGGTTTCTGCTTCTTTGACAGAAAGGTCATGTCTTTTATTTCTGTATCCCTTATGGTGGAGTAGAGGTTTGTTCATACCTGATTGTTTGCAGATACACTGCTAACTCTAAGAATTTATTGCATTTGCTATTGTGTTCTTACATATAAATGTTTTGTTGATGTTAAAGTTAGATAATTAAGAAAACTTAAAGTCAGGCAATTGGCTACTTATCATTGCTCCACCATAGCAAATCAGAAAGTTATTATTAGGTTGACCCTCTTATCTCACTCTGATGAGAGTTTGTTAACCTTACTAGTGACTCTGTAGGTAACATTGAAAAGCGGCAGAACTCAGTTGGTTGATACGTTTCTTTGATATAAATGTTGATGCCTTGACATTGAGAGGGGTGGTGGGTGGGTTTAAGGTTTGGGGGATTACATTTGAGTCAATTATGAAGGTTTGCTGTTTTATACTACCCCTCATCGATAAGGAGGAAAAAAAACTTGTTTTCTATCATTCCTACTTATCCTTCCAGACTCAGCTTGTAGCATTGTCTCTGTACAGTTGTTCCTTTCCTTGAACCACCACTTCTCTTCACAGTGAGGGAAGAGAGAGACCCTCTCATATTGTTTTATATTGTTTTATACTCAGTACCTGTTTTAAGAAAAACAAGGAAGTGAAACCAAAGACAGGAAGCCCAGCGCCAGGCCCAAAACCGGGCCTGGACCTGCCTGGCCTAAACCTAGTAGTTAAAAATCAACTCATGACTCAGAAACCGATGTTATCCATAGATTCCCAGCTTTGTATAAAAGAACATTGTGAAACTCCCTGCTCTGTTCTGTTTCACTCTGACCACCGGTGCTTGCAGCCCCTGTCACGTACCCCTTGCTCACTCAAATCAATCACCACCCTTTATGTGAAATCTTTAGTGTTGTGAACCCTTAAAAGGGACAGAAATTGTGCACTTGGGGAGCTCGGATTTTAAGGCAGTAGCTTGCCGATGCTCCCAACTGAATAAAGCCCTTCCTTCTACAACTCAGTGTCTGAGAGGTTTTGTCTGCAGCTCGTCCTGCTACATTTCTTGGTTCTCTGACCCCAAAGCAAGGTGACTGATGGACAGCCGAGGCAGCCCCTTAGGCGGCTTAGGCCTGCCCTGTGGAGCATCCCTGCTGGGGACTCCAGCCAGCCTGAGTGACGTGATCCAAAGAGCGCTCCTGGGTAGGCAATTGCCCTGGTGGGATGCCTCGCCAGAGCAGCAGGTAGCAGGCCCCCACAGAGGATTAACACAGTGGCTGAACGCCGGGAAGGAACTGACACTTGGAGTCCAGACATCAGAAACTTGGTAAGACTAGTTTTTGGAACTTGCCCACTCCATTTGAGTGGAAGTGTGGCCTGATCACCCACAGCGTGCCTTCATTGGCACTTTGGTGTTGGTTTTGGTTTTGACTTCATTTGAATTGCTTGAGAGGACTGATGTTGGGAACTTGCCCACTCCATTTGAGTGGAAGCATGGCCTGATCACCCACCGTGTGCCTGTACCGGCACTTTGGTTTTTGTTTTTGACTTGACTTAGACTGCTTGATACTTTGGTTTTGATTTTGACCTGGCTTGGATTTCTGGATACTCTGATTTTGGTTTGGTGTAAACTGCAGAAGTATGTGTGTACCCTTTTTACTTGTTTTTTGTTTTGTGGTGTGCGTGTGGTGTGAGTGTGGTGTTTTGTCTCAAAGAAGTATAGGTCAGGCACAAATAAGCCCACCCCACTAGGAACTATGTTAAAAAATTTCAAGAAAGAGAAAAAAGGAGGGAGGCAGAATTTATATAAAAATAATGTTATATGGTAAATTCTTGTCCTGAAATAAATTAACTGGTTGTTTAAAGAAAAAAATGTTTATAATAAGTCAGAAAGTTGAGACATGTCGACAAATTGTCTGCAAAAGTCGTAAAAGAAAAAAAGTTATAAAAATATTTTATACAAAAAATGTTGTATAATTTAAAAATAATAAGGCCTCCTGAGTACTATTGAAGAAACAGTTTATGTGCAAGGCACATAAGAAAAGTAAAATTTATCTTTGGTAAAAAGATTATAAGGAGGCATAAGAATGTGGATTTTTACCTACATTAAAAGGTTAAAAAAATTATTGTTTTGAAAGTTTAAGCAAATTTTAAAATGTTAATTGTAAAGAAAATTCTGTGTGTAAACATATTAGCTAAAGTTAAAAAGGTATCGTCCAGTTTTTCTGTGAACTGGACATTAAAGTAAAAATGCAACAGGTTTTTCTTAAAGCATCAACCTGCTCTTGACCAAAAATTATAATAGGTTAAAAAGAGTCTATAAAATCTTATGATCAAACATGAAAAACTGGATAAATATGTCTACAAGTTTTTATTAAAATTAAGTTTAACATTGATAACACACTAATATAAAGGTAAAATTTAGCTTATCTGGTATAAAAG